TCCGTTTTATGTCCCTTCTTAGGTCAGAATTTCCTATAGAAATCTACTCCTAGTGTAGAACTTGGACATACTGAAATCTCTCAATAACGATTGACCTTTTGCTGTGTTTGGTTTGAGGTCTCTATGCAGAAAACATACGATTCTCACCTTCAATGGATACTCTAGAATCAACGCCTGTAACACTTTAAAGCCATTTCTCTAATTGGCACTTCAAAGACATTATGATCCCGGATGCAAAATCGGGTCACTGCATACAATACCGCATAAATACATAACATTAAATCATTTAGTCGTTTTACATTTTCGGAAGAGGAGAGATAATGATCTTAACCGCGATCTTAAATTGCCGCTATATTAGATTAAATTATTTTCACGAAATGGAACTGTCAATGGCTTAGTTTAGATAACACTGTGTATAATTAATATTGAGACGGAATCAGTACGAATGCATTGACATCAAAGCGAAGGCACCGCGGAAGCATCGCATTTTCATGCAATCATTTCTGAGAAAGACTGCTATCACTCGCACTCGTGTGACCGACACGCAATGCTACGGAGAAGCTGTCCGTGCAGTTTTTTACGCACTTTATACATAAAAAAATGTGTTGATTAGTCATTTAATAATCTAAAGAAATCGTCGAGATCGTAAAAATGATAATGGTCATTAATTAAATCATTATTTTATATGGAAACAGAAATATTAATCGGAAACATTGATTGATAATATTTATTGACAGAGCGAACGTTTCTGAACTTGGAAGATTCTGCTGGTACCTCTGACCTCGTTAAACATCTACTTTTCTGGAGGAAACCAAGATGCAATGCTCATGCATTTTAATGGCCGTACTGTAAAAACTTGTCAGTTTGAAAGTCGTCTATGGTCTTGAGACCACTCATACATATTTATACGACAATTATTGCAATACAATGAGTGCCGTAAAATTGTGCAATAAGCTTTCATAAGTCGTAAATTGAATGTGATGATTTATAATTTACATTAATAGCGGTTTTATTGCATTATTAAGATAAACGATTTTGTCTGCGAAAACCGAGACGATGATCTTGGTTTTTTTCCTTAAAATTTCAGCAAAGTTCGATAACTCGTGAACACAAGGTCAATGTCAAAATTGTTTATGCATTCATCGTCGCGACATGACAGTATTGTATCAAAGAAATCTAAGAGACGGCTGGAACAAACATTGTAATGTTGTAGGAGTACATTATTTAAAAGATATTTTTTATTAAATACAAAGAGATTATATCGTTACAAGAAAATGAGAAGTCTGTGATTATTAAGATTATGTTTTACATGATTTATCTTTTCGTTTAAGTATGTATATTATATAAATTATTGAACAGAAACTATTTGTTTTGATATCTCAATATATTTTTTATTTACTTCAATTTAATATGTAATCTTACGCTCTCTATATTTAATACAACTTAATATAAAAATCATTTCCTTATTACATCAAAAGTTAAATCTTTCCAACTTTATTTCACCAAGTTCCACAAAATTCAATATGCTATTATTATAACTTTGCAGTACTGCACAAATTACCTGTAAGTTAAAGGGCAAGTTCAAAGGACTCGTAAAAGGGTAATAAAATAAGTGCTCACTCTACGGGGTGCCGACACAACATACCTACTTCAAATGACTCATATCTTTAACCAAAAAAAATAAACATAGATTTACGAGTAAAGCTATTACTTCAAATATATGTACATTCAATATTAAACTCAATATAATAATATCCTATATATATATATAAATTTTACGCAACATATATAATTATCTCAACTATAATATCCTGGTTCATTTCGATGTCGTATTAAATTAATGTATCAGCAAAAACATTTATATGCTAATTAAACTCGGACGAATATAATTCTACTAAAAATTCATTATAAGCATTTTAATTGAATATTTTGTCTATAATCTACTCCAAGGCGGCATAGCTAGAAATAACTTAAAGCCTTTATAAATAAATACAATGGTTATAGTAAATTCTCATATGGTTGGTAACCGATTCGCAACCAACATATAAAACAGGCTTTAAATAGAATTTAATGTTCATAAAAATATAAGTCTTTTAACTTCGCCACAACAAAGCCGTTTCTGAGAAATGTATAGTGGTCTGTCTGGACGTCTGCCATACTCATTAATCCTACAATTGAATAATCCCGTATCAGACAAATACATACATAATTAAGAAGCTTATATTGATATAAATATGGCAACCGATGTCACAATCACTATTTTTTAAATGATTAATTAATATATACAGAAGTCCGAAGTTTTATTACCAACTCTAGGCTAATTTATCATTTTAAGAATTAAGGATATTTCTTAGCTTATTTTTAAAATAATATAGAAGACTAACTTATTCAGTTTAAAAGCATTCTTTTTAAAATATTGCTGAGGAGATTTTCATTTGAATATATATTATGGCTTAAAATAAAATGACTTTAGCGTTTATTTATTTAAAGGGTAGTCAAAGAAAAATACTATATATGCGTTGATTCTAAGCCCAGGTCTTTGGTACATGCTACTTACAAGTTTATTCCAAAATTAAATTTCATGGATATATAATTTAGTGTCAGAAGTGTTAAAAGTATTGAACACCTTTCGTTCGGAATACCGGCCCGGTCTGTTATTTGGGACAGCCATATTTGTTCCAACTAATTGCCGTAATGAACCTTATCTGTTTACTCAGTGCCACTCGAGCTGTTTACTTGATGATCGACAGCTAACCTTACACAAGGCTGTATGTACTGTGCAAATTACAAATTAAACATTTAATATGCCTCAAGCATTTTAATTATTCAACTTTTAAATTATTATTTTCTCCCTAGCATTATCTTCCGATCGACGGAATTGCGAAGTTATTTTACCGTCAATGAAGATGCATTAGGTACCTGTATCTTTTCTGTCTCAGTTCATAAATCGACGCATTCCAAGATTTCCGTTCAATATATAATGCTCAGTCGATAAATCTTGACCGTGTTGTAACTCCAAATCTACTTTTTATAGCCGTCGACTCAAGGGACAGATCCTTAAGTCGATATCTGTTCAATGCAATTTACCGATACTCAGTACCATTTTTCAATAGCTAAAGAAGTTTATATTTATCTCCCTTAGACTGTATATCAAAATTAATATCATGTATTTTTATAGAAATAAACATGTGCGGAATAAAAAAATAAAGAATATTTATATAACATAAAACATATTTATCATTTGGGAGCTTCAGAAGCATATTGCAAAAATGTAATTTTATGTAATATACGTTTATTAAGAAAATATTTAAAGATGTGAAAGTTGGTGTTCCATGTAAGGCAGTAATTGCGGTTATGCTTACGAGATCCTAACTAAAAGTGTAACCGATACTCAGTAATGAAGACATATTTCATAGTTATTAAATCGAAACGTATGTATATAGTTAATCAAGTTTTCGTTGCGTACATTATTAACTATTACCAAAAGCAGAAGCAAAACAACTGCAATGTTTCAAAATAAACATTTTCTAAGTGTGCTATTAAAAAGTTCATTTAACTTAATTGTATCTAAATATATGTATGTATGTACAAAAGAACACAAAAAGTAAACAAACAGTTATTAAAAAAATCCGCTTAAAGCTTTCCCGTTTTTTTTTAAATTTCCATTCCTGTACCATTTAAGGCAATGCAATAAGAAGAACAACTTAATTGTCATGATTGTTAAAAAATTAAAAAAAAAATGTAATGTCAATGACTCGGAATATAATTTTAATAAAATAAAAAAGTTTATATGAAATAAATAATCTTTGTTAATTCCTTGAATTTTTTTTAGCTCTTTAATTGTTTGTCTTGTTATTTAACTATCAAAATAAATATTAACTAAACATAAATTTATAGAATAGCTATATTTAAAATTGGTTTCGCTGGCTCTTGTCTAATTTATTATAAAATTAGAAGAATGTCGGCTTTGGAATATAATAAACCCGTTACAGCACCAATTAATCAAACAGGCTTTTATTCATGCAATAAAATTTTATATCAACCATAAATAAAAATGATACATGCTTCACTTTCAAATCTAAGAGATATTTATATCATTTAATTAAACTACAAAATAAAATGAAAAATTGATTAGCAAATTGCTGCGAATTGCATTAACTGGCCTGTTATAATATTTATGGTTGATTACTACTTTTATTAGCAAATTATTTGCGGTTAAATATCATTTAGCAATTACTACATTTCATCGGTTTTACTAAAAGGACTATCTTGGACATTAAGATCTTATTAGATCGTATAGTTTTTACGACTGCATTAGTATAAGTATATTCTATTGCTTAATGCGTTTATGACTCTCAGAATGTTAAATGTCTGCTTGAGAAATTCAACTTAAGATATTTCAAATATGCGGGAATTAACGCTAAGAACCAGTTACAGGGCTAACAGTTTATAATAAATACCTGATGATTGTGCTGTCGCTGTGGTATTGTCTTGTCTAAGCAAAATGTGGAAGAATGTGTGGCTCGCGATGAAATTATCCGCTTAATAGCTCAACTTCCTTGCTATCTTATCCGCCACATCTTTAGCATTTTGTACAAATTTAAATTTATCAATAACATAACAAAATAATTACCAATAAAATACTAAATGCAAAGGATTCAATCACTTGCTTATAATTGCCGCGTATTTAAATGAAGCTTATATTACTTTAGTATTTTTATTAAGACGATGTTTACTGTTCACACTATTTGAATTATTCTTTCAAAGTTCATTCTGTCATGAAGTACTTTGTTCTGTTTATTGTATTCTATCATCATATCCCTCCTAGTGACGATGTCAAAGTCAGTAGCTCACAGCTATAGTCAAGTCGAAAGTAAATCATCATGTTATAATTGCACATAACTAATTCAGTAGAAGTTATTGTAATCCGATTTAAAATGTTCTAGTTCTGTTAAAGGCTAATAATATGTGGTTTTTGTAACACAAACATATTGTTTTAGGCCCTCAGTAACGTTCATCACTCCAGCGTTAGTTGTGGAGCGACACAGGGTTAACTCGAGAACTCGGGCGAGGCCTTTGGAGGCAGCTACTGCGTGCCACTACACCGGCTCCGTACGAGGACAGCCTGGCTCGAATGTCGCACTATCAGCCTGCGATGGACTCGTAAGTATTTACATAATAAAAAAATTATAGTTGACTCAGGATCAGTAGTTACCCACATTAAACCTTAGATAGTAGATTATATACGAATCTTATCATACGATAAACTTTCAAACGATCGACGGCCACGATGGCTAGTATAAAAATCGTACTAAGAATACATTTCAACATTTTATTTCTTTTGACAGTTAAACATTAAATGTTGTTAAACTCACATTCTATTAATGACATTGAAAGCTGAGAATTTTTATAGCGAAATAGGAATTCCTATGAAACTATTCCTTTCCTCACTCGTGTAGCTTAAGTACGTAATATTTCATTCACTTGAATCGACTACTAAAGATGCCGCCAATAGAATATAAAATCCTTTACGACTGTTTTTTTTTTATAATTTTTATACTGTTTGTGTTATTTAATGAGTTCCTGAATACTGTATGCGGTTTTTAATTTTATAACCCGCAACTCTGTTATCTGATTAAGGAAGATTTTGTACGTTTTTGCGTAAACATTATGTTTTTTTTTTATACATTTTGGTTTTAATTAAATTATCATATAACGTGATTATTTTATCAGAATGAAATAAAAAATTAAGTTTTATATTAGGATTCCGACAATCGTTAACAAATTTTAATGTTTTATTTGATCTCTCTTATTTTATATATATGTATTAATTATTACGAATATTATTTAATAGCAAAGGATATTAGTTTCGATTCTCATTATAATGAGGCTTCATTTCATTTTTGAGGGTTTTTATCAAGTTCTCTAATTCCATATTAAAACAATCATAAGTTCTAACTCCTTTGGTATTTTCCATATGATTTATTCCGTCTTCATCCGACCCCATCTAATTTAACCTTTGTATAATAGAATGTATCACGTGTTTTACTCGTTTTTTGATACCTTTCAGTCGTGCGTTAAACACAATCATGATAACATATTTTTTTTCTGTTATTTTTATAATTTAGGATTACGACCGCGTGGGTCGTAGAATATTATACGAAGTTTTTATGAATAAGATTGAAATAATGATTGAAACGTGATTATAAACATTTTTAGTAATTTATAAAACATTAGCATTTAATTCGTGTTATATAATACAAAAATATAATTTGTTTCTGACGTTGTTTTAAACGTTTTAACAACGTGTTGAGAATTTAAAATATATGCTATTGTAACATAAAATTGTAGAAACAAAATAAAAGTGAATTGAAATGTAAGGGAAAATATTTTAGATCCGTCCTACCATTTAAGCCAATTTAGATATCATATCAAGTATGTAGCAGGAAGAATATATATTTTTTTTATTTTGATATCGCCAAATTCAATTTAAATTCATAAACACAACTTTAATAAATAATTAAACTAAAGTGTAAATATCACTTGACTGACTGATTTATATCAAAAAAATAACAAGAACAAAGTAAAGATTTTAAAATATATAGAAACTTTGGCCATCCGAATGCTTTCTATCCAAGCATACTTTCAACAAGCATCTATGTTATTGAAAACTACTGAAGAGAAACGCTAATTTAGTGCCGTTTGTAGAGAGTATATACAATTGATTGATTTGTAGCAGGTAATTTTTTATGATATATTACATCATTGTTTCTAAAAACCAACTAATATTAAATTACATTTTATTTAAGTTAACTTCTTAATCACACAAAAAGCAAAAATCATTTTAAAATGATATTCAATATTTAGATAGACACAATGCTGGAATAATCTAGGTACTCTTGCGTCAAGAATTGGTGAGTCTCAGAGGCAAAGCCTCGGTTAAAAACTAGTCTTCAATACAAGTTTTCAAACGGTTTTTTAATTATGAAACCTTAGTTAAGTATTGAATAAAACTTTCATTTATAGACGGCGCATTTTTTAAATAAAAAAAAATAATTGTATACCGGTTAGTTTAGTCTATTAAGATAACTCCGTTTTGTTATCACGAGATATGTGTGATAATTCGTTTTAAAAGTAATTTAATAAGTGCTATCTAAATTCATTCGGAGAAAAAAAGGAAACAAATTGCGATCAGTCGTGGGTATAATGTTCTTTATGGTAATATACGGTGTTCGGAAACCTGTTTAAGCGATCTGAATTGAGATAACGAATACTTAGTTACGACATTATGCGCGGAAAGAAAAATTTATCGAATATGTATCCAATTATTGGAAATTTAATTCTTTTGTACCGACTTAATGACGTCCAAATATTTTGATCATTACCAAAAATATTCACGACTGATAATCTGATGTTGAATTATAATGTATTTTATGCCACCTTAATGATGTGCGACCCATAAATATGATTTAAAAAATACTATGCAACCGAAAATACATGAACACAATATTTAATTTTAATGATACATGTAAGATTAATTGAATATGAAAAAAGAATTCTATCTGTTTGTACTTGTTAGAACTATTTGTAGTTAAATCAAATAGTTCACGCCAAATTTACAAAATGATGTAAATAGAACTGAGTTTTTCGGAAATTTTGAAACTAAATAATCTCGACGTTTTCTTTATAGGAATCATGATCACGGGCAGACGAGATTATTGTCGTTTTATTTAAATGAATACACGTGAAATTCTTAGATATTATTACAAAAATACTACTTAGATACAATATTTTTTAATATTTATAAGCCTGTTAAAGTACAGACGTCTTCGCTTCTATCAATAATGTCACAAAACTGAAAGAAAATACAATGAAAAATGAAGGTTGAACATGATATATATATATATATATCATGTTCAAAATATAATGAACGAGTCTCTTTTATATAAGTGACTTTCGCGTCCTTCCACTCGCAAGGCCGGCGACATACAGACTGGCTGGTCGATCAACTGAATAACGCAGCTGAGAGACTGTTCAAACATATAATTTAGCCAACGATCTCACTAATACTTAGTCATGTTACTTAATAATATATTAGCGTGTGCCGTGTACTAGCTAGTAGAGGACAATTAAGATTGGAACATTTTCCGGATAACGAATCTGAACAAGATTGTTTTTTATATATTAGTTTCAATATAATTAACTTAAAACTACCACGCTAAAATATTACGTTTAATATTTAATCATATTAGTCAAATAATATAATATCAAATAGTATAATCAATCTCGTCTTAGTCAATTTTAAGATTCGAAATATTGATTTTATGAACCAGAGTACTGTTAGAGTTAGGCAATGAAATTCAAAATTCTATTCATCGTAAGCAAGGCGTGTCTAGGGCCTAATTTTGTATTATCCAATTTAATGTGATTGTTATCTAAAAGAGAATCTAGTTTGTTTTCTATTTGCTGCTTATCAAATAAATCATTCACCAATCATGTGATGGCTATGGCAACGATGTTAAAATCCAAACAGAACCGTTTCTATTAAATTTTACTCAAAATAGCGTCGGCCTCTTTATCAATCAATTTATCTAACGTTACTAGTATGCTGACGTGAGATTTGTTGACCCACTGCTAAACCGGTTTGACACTTAACAGACGATTCACTATTGGCATTGCTTTATAAACTTTTCGTTTACTAAATATTTGTTTGCAATACCAATCGTTATATCACTTTCATAGTAAACATATTTGTAATTCAAGTAATGGACAAAATAAATATGTTTAATTTCTAACAGGCAGGCATGCTGCGGACGAAATATGGAGAATATTGGATTGAGCCATCAAATCAAGTTACGACCGACGGCTCTCCTGGGCGACCACACGTTATATTTAAGAGATCTGCTGTCGATAAAGTTGAGGCATTCCATAGAAGAAAGAGGGAAGTCGATAGAAGAATGAATTCTTCGTCTAGAAATAACAATGAAAAGAATTATAAAGAAAAAAATTCAAAACGAAACACGAGAAGAAAGGATAGGGAGAACATGGATCAGCGTAGACGAGCGTATATAGAAGAAAGACGGAGGAGATTAGAGGCAATGAGACGTGATCCAGCAGCATATAGAAGAAATAAAAAGAATCTACGAATGGAGCATAGAAGACCGCTGTCTGAATCAGCGTCTTCATCCGTATCAAGAAGTATGTCCTTGGAAACTAGTCATTCCTTGGAACAAAATTTAACAACGAGTAGGTCAAGTATTGAACAGCGACCACGAAGGATAAGAACGAGACGAAAGAGAAGGAGACGTTCAAAGAACTGTGCAACAAAACAACCACCATATCAATGGAAGTATAGAAATTCTAAAGAACTTCATTCACAGGAAGAACGTAACAAATCAAAATATTACAAGGTTTATATATTATTCTAGTATTTGTATTACTGAAAAGAATAAATAGAATCTAATAAACAAATTTAATTTCAGAGAAACAATAAATCTCAACGCAATAATGTAAACAGACGGTATTTAGAAGCATCAAAACGATCGACGAGATCTGTTAGCAAGCCGCGTCACGTTGAAGTGTTACTTGTCGCCGATAAGTCTATGACTGATTTCCACAATCAAGGCAACTTGGAAACTTATCTACTGACAATCATGAACATGGTGAGTATTGACACAGTTACATATCGGTCATACATTGAAATACACAATAGCTTAAATTGTTTGTTTTGCGTATTTGCACGCCTTATCGCCTGATTAAAACGAATGAAAAATCATCTTAGATTATAAATATGTTTTTTCTAGTATCTGACTATAAGATAAGTTTTTTAATATTCTACACTTTTGGTAGATAAATTATTTTAACCTATATATTTCATGAACATATAGGTTAAAACAACTACATACATTTTACTCTTTTTTTATAAATTTCAAATATCCGACCTCTTAAGACATTACGAGTATATTAATCTTTCCACAGGTATCATCACTATATATGGATCCGTCAATCGGGAACTACATCAAGGTGGTGGTAGTGAAAATTATTTTGGTTGAAGAGATGCACGCGGCCCCTGAGCTATCAGTGTCCACTAATGCGGACTCGACGCTCGCGTCCTTCTGTAGGTGGCAGCACCAGTTGAACCCGGATGACGACCACGATCCACACCATCATGACGTAGCCATACTCATCACACGACGGGATATATGCAGCCAGCAGGACACACCTTGTAGGTATGAAGCATTCATTCATTTATAGAACATCCTATATATATGGAAAATTGAACCATTATAGAACCTTGTCGTTGTAAATCGTTCGGATTTTATATATAGATAAATTTTATATAAAATAATTATCTTAGAAAGCCTTAAGTGTGCTCGAGGCGTATTACACAAATTACAGAATTATTCATCTCCATCATTTACACGGTTATTTTTACTTTAATTACTCATCTTATCTTATTTTATATCTTTTGATAAAGACGCGATAGTATTCTTATTGTTTGCTATTATCTCGCTTGGAGAAGTGCGCGAAAATGAAAACTTCGGAAATAATTTAAAAGAATTTTTTTATTTAGAAGTCCTATTTAATTCTTCGAGTGGGCTAAGTGATTTTCAACCGCATTTGATCATCAACAAAGCTTGAGTAATAGCCATCTGTTTAATACGAGGTAACAGATAGTATACCAATTCTTCATCCGTATTTGGTCAAAGTTGTTTCTATCAACTGAGTTACTAGTAACATCTATATCATTCAGCCCACATTGTTATTACTGTCAAATTACACCGATCTTTAGGTGGGCTGCATTAATCTTAACGAATACGATAAGTGGGCGGACGTCCACTTTGCTTTAGTTCTAAATGAATATATAAATAAACACACTTAAAAGGGTTTTCTGCTTAAGTAAATTGTAAATATTTTAGATTTAGATTTCTCTTTTCTATTGTACTTACAATATTTAGTACTTCATGGAACGTCTAACTTAATCAGAGTTAAAACATACAAATTTCTTGTAGTTTTCTTGTATATTGAAGATTAAAAAGTCTGTGATGAAGTGGTGATAATACATTATTTTAAGATATTTCCAATAAGGTACCATTATAGATAATATAATTGATATTTGCCATTATTTTTGCACGGCAAGGTCAATGGCTCGCGTCTGTTGCTAGTATTCGAGAGGTTATGAGTAACTGAAGCGAAAATAGAACACTTTCAATATTACGTCGGCACCTGGTCAAAATATTTGCAATATCACTATCATATAATAAAACTTATTCGTATGAAAACACAATAATAATTTTGAGTTCCTTTAATGTTAATTTCTTGGGAAAGGCAGTCAATTATAATTGGCCTTAGTTAACAGTAATAGAAGGTATAGTTAATTTAATTATATATAAATGAATTATCTGCATGCCAAAAAATATTTAAATAATTTTGCAATCAATCTTAATCAATATTGTATTGGCATTTACCAAATATGTATATCAAAAGCCATAGGCGTTTGCAATAGTACGTTCATTATATAGACAGTGTTAATGTAATTTATAAATGTAAGGACATAGTGTATTTTTAGTATGAAACATAACATGTGACCTATTTAATTTTAAGCAAACTTTTTATACATAAATTATGAGACAAATATACGTGGAAAAGGATTATTTAATAATATTTTCAATTTGATGACATTTCTTCAATGGTGGCCATACAAAACTACTATACAAAATATATGTAAATTTTTACCATAAAAGTGTACTTTGTAAATATTTATTAAGAAAGACCAATACCTACCTAAATTACGCTGTCGCTGTGGTAATTAATCTGTTTGTTCGCTCAAATATAAAAAAAAAATCCATCAGGGTTTTGTAATATATATTTTTTGCGAATACCTAAAAACCGTGGTCACTGCCAGCGGTCACATCAAAAAGCCGGAATTAAGGTCAAGGATGTCTACAGAATTGCCGCTCGAAGTAAAAAAAAAACTCGCAATAATATTATATAATTAAAAAGGCAACCTCATGCCATATAATACATACAAAGTATATTTTAAGACTATTCCTAAAATAAATTCAAACTTACTCACGTTTGATGAGCAACAGAATATATTCTTAGACAGAACAGGTAATATGTGTTGTAAATTACAAATGTTTTCACACCATTACGTATAAAAAGCGATAGATGAAGTAAACTCGATGTTTGAACGAAACATTCATGTCCAGCTGACTGAAACAGTGGTGTCTGAAGAGAAACAGATTCATTCATTCTGTTAAATACCAATACATTACTTAATATATATTGCTTTTATGTGTTATTAATACATTTTTAGTTAAATTGCTCTTACATTTTTTTGCATAATATAGCTTTACGACCATTTTTTTATAATACATTGTATGCAATATTTATTGTAATGTTTTAATTCAAACATATTTTTCATAGAAAGACTATTTATATATTTTCTTAGAGATATTGAAGCCCACGTATTTGTCAAGAGGATATTTAAAGAACTTATTCAGATTTCATCCTTTGAGTTCTGATTATACACGAGACTCTTTACGTGCGGAATCAATGCAATTGTTTCACCAACATATGTCCATACAAATACGGAACACGTTTCTACCGAAAAAAAAAATGCCATGTAATAAATGCCATAAGAAAACTCAATGCGTTCGCGAAACGGTATAAACGAGTAGTCGAATGTTCTTGGAAGGCGGCAATCAAAAGACAATGAGTCTTGGTAACGGTGCCATGCCCCACGGCTGCTGTCAGAATCCCAATACATACATACATTATGCATTAAATTCGCAATGATATTGTATACGTAAATATTTACATTCATCATCAAATGATACTGCTATAGTATAGTAATTGTGGCTACTTGATTAGTATACAATAACAAAACATAATGTTTTGTTATGAATATGAAAGGGATTGTATCGATATGCTTTATACGGTTTGAGTAAATCGTTATTGTGAGCGAGGACTGGCGACGCGCAGTCTGGCGACGCTTCACCCACTTGTATCACGACAAGGATATAACAAAAATATATAAAAACTCTTTAGAACAAAAGAACTCTTTTTGGCTGTATATTTTTTTTTCCTATGGTAACAATATATTATAATATTTAATCTCACTATAAAATCGATAAATAAAATTTTCTTTATCGCTTTCAATTTTAATTCGTATAAATGTTAAAATAAGATGGTGTAAGTGATTTTATCCTAAAGAAATTGCTAAGATGCGTGCTTGCGCGTAAGCAGTTTCAAAGGTAATATATTGTTCGAGAGAGTGTTATCTGATTTTTGAAACAAAAATAATTGCCGCAGCGCATCTGAAATACAATGCCCTTTGTTATTTAGTATCGTTATTCGGTTGGATTAACATTTCAATACCAACATGAAAAATATAAAAAAAAACTCTCCCAAAATAAATGGGTTCATTTTGATTCTGATCAGATTATTTTGACGTGTAAGACATAAATAGCCATAGAAATTATCCGAGTTCTCGTAAATCAATGTTACCGACATACAATTCACACTTAAAATACAAAAAAGCAATTCGACACAACAGTATGCGTTCCACGTATTGACCGTCGACCACCTAAAGACTTGTCAAAACATGCAACATACTCGTAACTCTAAGGCATATTTCTCAAAGCGATCAATAGGTAGGTGATAAAACAAACTTTAATCCTCGAAATTATAGAATTAAAGTTAGCAATTTCCCAAATTATTTGTAGATACGTATAATTTTATTTATATAAGGAGCTCTACATATAATATCTTCCTCTGATACTTCTCTCTCAAGTAACTCAAACCAATCGCTCCTAATAATATGACGAAACGCTTATTAAAGTTTTCAAACTAAGACCGCCTACGACGAGAGTTAATATAAACTCAATATTGAAATATAACAAATGTTATATCACTAATGTAGTTGCTATGATTGCTATAAAAATTCTTTTTCATTTTATACAAAGATAATTCTAATACGAAGGTAGAAAGCATTAATAATATTTTCAACAATACGTATTACAACTTCAATTTTAGTTTCTAGATTACACCTGTTCGTTATAATAGACATCAACGCGTTCCCATTACCGGCCACAATGCAAGCAGTAGGTATACTTATATTTGATTAACGACAATATAGAATTATATTAAAGCCTGAACTCTAATTGAATCTTAATAAAATCAGCGTGAACAAATAACTTTGTTCTTACTACTATAAATAACAAAGGCAAGAAGTCGGTTTAAAAAAAGCCATTGTTGTACAAAAAAAACAAAGTTCGGACGAAGTTTATCCAGATTTATTAAAGGGAATTTATAGAGCTTTTCGTCGGCTTCCGTAGTGAGTCAGACGCTATATTATTAGACGCCTATTCCCGGCAACGTCTGCTCAGAGCACTCATTACGAATTGCCTCAGAATATGTTCACACGTACATAAAACGATGATTTTATTAATATATATATCTTATTGAGATGTTCTATTATAATAACACAAACAGAAATTATTAAATTTGATTAAATTCCAAATGATCTTTCATTTTTTTATGCCGAGGGTAGTTCGACACAAAACTCTGTTTTGGCATGGCAATAATTGATAGTATCATGGCTACTGAAAATTAACCGAAACGTCGGGAGTACGTAGTTTTTATAATAAAAAAATACTCGTAGTATAGTCCCAAAAATATTAATTTTGTTTAAATATATAATTGATGAGTTCTTTAATCACTATATCTACATCTCTATCAATAACTTTTAATGTTAACAATATGTTCTAGATATCATTAAAGCATTTTAAATCATGCTCCTTACCCAAATGATGAAATTCATTTGCATCAACAGACTTACTCTGATTGCACACATACTGACCGATCGATCAAACAGACCGATTACATAATCTAACGTCACGTTTTATCGTGTAAAAGTATTTAAGATATATTATCTATATAAATAAAAGATAGTGTAAAAGGGTCTTAATACGTCAATAATTCATTGGGCCCGCTGCCACCACCATAATTAGTACACCATTACTGTTTGCTACACCTTTTATACTGTAATACACACAGCGGTAAATTATTGACCATAATTTATATTTATAGCACCCTAGCAGATAATAACCGGCAGTTTCCTAGAATATTCTCTTATTATAGTGGATTAAGTGTTAACCAGACATTACATTAGTAATTACATAGCCGCTGCGATAGTTAAAGTTACGTGACAACCATTTGATACGAATCAACAAATATATCATAAAAATATGTAGAAATTATATTTAATCTATGTATTATTAATAGTGGAACTTCACGATGTCTATGAGATTATGTTCTTGCAACAACGATTATTGAATCACCAATGTAAAAGATGCATCGGTTTCATATGAAACTTTTGAATAAAACATAAGGTACTCGATGAACGCATTCGCACTTTTATGAAAACGTTGAATGTTTAAATGAAAACAATATTATTCGTTATACTACGCGACTTTATTTTTGCGATAAACTACATACTCCCGACGTTTTGACTACTTTTCAGTAGTCATGATCACGGACAGACAAGATGGGATCACGGTTGCTGAAAAGTAGCCGAAACATCAGGAGTACGTAGTTTATTGCAAAAATAATCCGAAAAATATTGGTTTCATACAAATGAATAAAACTCGCGATAATCTTGGATCTCATTATTCGTACCTGGATGAGTTTATGCGGCACACATCATCTAATACACCACGCATACCATGGTATATATATTGTAATGTTGCAGTACTCTAGGCGTGGCGCACGTGGCGGGCATGTGCAAGCCGGACCGCAGCTGTTCAGTCAACGAGGACAATGGCATCATGCTGGCGCACACCATCACGCACGAGCTGGGACACAAGTATGTACTCATTAACCACACACACACACACACACACACACACACACACACACACACACACACATATATATATCTATACACACGTCGTGATGGCCTAGTGGTTAAAATGTCCGCAAATCATGTATGAGAGCGCGGGTTCGAAACCTGCTAAGTACCAATGTGATTTTTCCGAGTCATATGTATTTTCTAAGGGTATTTAGACACAACTGACAGACGATGATGGTGACTCAAATTTATATCAAAGTTCCCATTTCTTCTTTAATCCGACTGCATCGTAAACATAAGGGAAGGTTATGAATTTGAATTCGATAAGGAGCATAGAACTTTAGTGATAAGATCTTGTAGACGGAAAGAGAACATTTTACCAATCGATTTATCATTTCACTGACACACTAAGAAATAAATGTAAAAATTTTTCATAGAATGTGCTATATTTCTTCTCTAAACCCATTAATATGAATAAGAAACAATAAACATAAAAAAAGTAAATTGCTACTAAATGTAAACAGTCGTAAATAAAACTCATGACAAATTTAAACTATTACATATAATAGTAAATGAACTAAATATATAGAATTAAGAGAATTCAGAAGTAGCGAGCCGGATTTATAAATCTAATTTGTGACACATAACTCCTACATAATTCGTCAACTATAACAAATTCTTTTATTTTCCAAGATATATTAAATAATTTAATCTATGTTACAATTTTAAATGTCAACATTAATATAATGTTTCTATTATTCGTTTTTTTACAAGTTATATTCTCAACCAACCAAACAACAAGATCGAATTACAAAAGTCCAAACAGTTTAAAATATAAATGGAACGGAAATACCTCAAAGCTAAGAGGAAAATTATTTTGAAACTAGAAATCATTCGCAGTGAGACACTATGAGTAAAATAGAAATAAACAAATAATAATTTAATAAGCATAGTCTAATCGAGCTTTAATCAAAATTGTAAAGATTTAACCTTTCGTACATTAATTGCATTGTCTTGTTAGAGGTGTTCATTGGAAACTATTAATTAAAATGTTGCTTAAATACACCGTCTGCACTTACTCCTAAATGCTATCCATTAATTTTAAGAACTTGCGCCACGTTAGCATGCATAAATCTTTTATTATCTCCTTCACATTTAAGATACAAGATGTGATCTCAGTACAATATGCAACAGCATAGTCAATAGAGCACGTCTATTTATTTAAAAATTACTTTAAATTTGTTCTTTAGGTAAAACCTGATAGTTTAATGTCACTATACATGTAATATGCATTTTTTTAAATACTACCTCTTAAATAAACAGTATCGAGAGTAACAAAGATAAATTTCAACATTTCTACTGATCCATAGGCCTGTTACAATTTGAAACGGCAAAACACGTGTGCGTAATATATGTAATTCAAATAATAAATTGGAGTAATTGGAGCATTTAAGAAACACCACTAGCTATATAAGTACACAGCTTGAACAATGGCCCATACAACACCATACGTTAATTATCTACAGTATAACAGCCTACATGGAAGTTAACGATAATGCGGCGTGGGGTCTCTCATAAAACGTCTCATTAAAACATTGCAACAGAATGTTAACTCTGTATAATCTGTATTACCATATCCATTATTTTATACTCTGTATTTAATCTCTGTTTTGCAAATTACGTTTTCCGTATGTAAAATTCACAGAATTTATTTTAGATCGTTTCGAATGTAGTCTGTATACAGATTACAGATATATTAAATATTATTCGCGATCGGTTGCCGAGCGTTTCGGTTGTACTGCGTGAGTCATGTTTCTAAGCTGAGATTACCGCAAGGACGTTGCTTTCTGAGAAATAAGCTTATGAAAACTCGAACAATGTTTATTTAACTCCGCCAACATTTGTAAACTATCGAAATGTTGCATAATTTGTTTACTTGGTTACATTTAGATATTGAAAGTAAACAAAGTGTATAAAATTTACTCACAGATTATAAAATGTTTAGCGAAACACCTAACTAAAGACTGTATCATAAAATACTATACCATTACTATGTATTAAATATACAAAATGTAATTTAAACAACCTCCGTCCTAAATATGATATTTAGAGAGTGGTCATATCTTATTTATATAAATGGGTTTCTACGGTTTGCATTAGAGTGACAATCTTAAATAAACACAAGTTATGTAAGCGCAAACAGTTCAGCCAATGACCTTCTTTCAGCCGTAGACATATGAATGCATCATTCGCTGAGTACAATGCACTCGGTGCATTGACGCCGCTATCGGCCCACACATGATCATTATATTTTTCAATTCCTTATCTCAACTTAAGAATAATATAAATGTGTTAACACCAAATGAGACGATTTATAGTTTTTTTAGGGTTGTCACTTACAGTGAAATGTCAATAAACACGATTGTATGGACAAATTATTTTACATCATACTTTATTTTTATAATGAGAAAGAATTAAATATAGAAGCTCTTAATACTTTTATTTCCTAATGGGTAATTAACTGTTTTATAAAAGAAGTATATTATTAGAATAAGAGATTGTTATCATATTCCAAAAAGACATCGGAACTGATATAAAGCTTGTCGATGAAAGAATGCAAATAAAATTTAATTATTAAAGTTGAGTGGTTTGTTTATAAGTGCACGGAGTCAACAGTAATAAAATCAATTTTTAATAGCTGTTGTGATTTATCGACTTACGTTAAAGGCTAGAGACCAATGGACCTCCACGCTGGGTAATTTTATTTTGAGATAACTTGATTTATTAACTTTTCTCGATACATTTTTTTTTGCTCGTACCAGTCAACTATAATTATTATTTCTCAACTATGACATGCTGATTAATCTTTTGATAGTGACGTCATCTATTCATTTGTTTACAGCCAATGTCTTCATGTCTTACTTTACCGTTATGAAATAGCATGTCATCAAAATAACATGCATTCATAATTATCAATAGTTATACAATAATTATATATCCTGAAGACATAACAATAACTTTTGCCTCAATTTTCTATTTCCGTTATCAATCGTGTTATCACTCGTACATACAAAATGTGGAACATTTAAATATAGTACCGTGTTCTGGAGATAACATTTACTACATACAGGAGTTGACTTTAATCTCGAAGTAGGTAGCCTCTTATCAATGTGATAAGCATACAACACTCGCTTTACTTTCGTCTGTCCCGTGTACACTACTTTCATGACAAATAAATCTCAACTATAAATAACACTAACTTCTAACCGCAAACATTATGTATTATTATTATTAATGTTATTTAAACTGTTGCTTTTAATTAAAACTGTGTTTCTTTCAACACAACCCACACATTTGTATCATATATCGCTGTTATTAAACAGTCGCCGTTCGACAGGCACGTAACCATTTTGATTGAGATCTTAGTGACTTAATCTAGACTCTGGCTACCGGTGTGCCTAATGACTGTACAAGTTACCACGCCAATTTTATATAACTTATTTGACATTAATTTATTCTTGACCGTAATTTTTTGTATTGATTTAATAGCTTTATAGAATAAAAATGTTTTTTGATATGTAAATACTTTGTTTCATAGTTTCGGCCTGTATCACGACACCGAGAAAATTGGTTGTCACAGACGCGATGGGGCTACTCTTCATATTATGACACCGATCTTTGAACCAGATACTGTTCAAGTCGCCTGGTCACGATGCAGTAAACGGGATGTCACCAACTTTTTAGAGTAAGTTTCGTCATAGTAATACGCGTTTGATTCTAAATGTCATATTGACAGTTACATCTGTCATATAATATAATTGTTAATTATAAATGTAAATTATATATGTATATTTAAAATGAACATTTTATATTTTGTATAAATAAATTTATATACCTAGTGTATATATTACCGCACAATTATGTAACTAACACAATAAGCTGTTAGCTGTCATAGTTATAATGATTTTCCCAAGTTTTATACTCCATGTCACTTTTTACATGTGTCTTTGTTTTTATTCATAACTTAAATGACAAATTATATTAATGTACGCGTGATAAAATTGAAAGTTGCAAGTCGCTGGGAGGCAGTTGGCTTAGTACTGTAATTATTTCATTATACCGGATGTCGTTAAACTTGTTCGTTAAACAACTGCCAACACTAGCTAAAGCTATTCTGTTTTATTACGAGCATAATTTGTCTAAAAATCAAACTAGTTTACAATTAATTACATTTATAGTTCTTGTAATTTTTGAATAAAAATCTATATGACCAAATAAATCAGATGCTAATCGTTTTCTTATTATAGTGCCGGTTTAGGGGATTGCTTGAGTGACAGACCATCTCAGGAAGAACCGTACGTCTATCCTGAACTACCCGCAGGTAAGAAAGATAATAGATAATTAATAGAACAAGAGTTTTAGTTTATAAATATATTATGGTAATAAATGAGTGACTGTATATAGGTGTAACATTTGATGCGGCTTATCAATGTCACTTGCAATTCGGCGAGGAAGCCGTAGTATGTTCCAAATTGACGGAGCTATGTGAACATCTGTGGTGTCTCGTCAACAACACATGCAAATCGATGTTAAGACCGGCCGCGCCTGGGACAACTTGTGGTGAAAATATGGTAGGAAAATATTTTATTAATTAACCATTGTATAAAAATTTTATATGGACATATTTATGTAAAAATTACTACATGCTGTAAACAATTTCATTAATTCAAATCCAAAAATACTTCAACAATAAAACAATTATAAGCGTCTCTATGCAAGAACCATCCTGTAGACGATCAAAAAGTTTTATAAAGAAAATTAAAAAAACATCCTCGCCACAATTATTAACCTCGCAAATCAACGATATGTTTCTTTGAAAATAAGAACATGTTTCTATGAAAAATAAATTTTGCTCCATAGTGGTGTCAGAATCAGACATGCGTACCGAAGGCTCCGTCCCCCGTACCACGTGACGGTGGTTGGGGCGCTTGGAGCGAGTGGAGCGAATGTTCCCGAACTTGTGGTGCGGGGGTGTCCACGCAACATAGAGAGTGCAACAACCCTGAGCCACTAAACAATGGAAACTACTGCATCGGGGATAGAAGCCGGTAAGAATAACCACAGAAATAGTTAATATAGAAATTCACAGCCAAAATTATAGTGTACATGACGATAGGTATACAGATAATACGAGATTTATAGTGGGAATCGTAAAAGTGTGAGAAAAACTCAAATAATTAAAAAGAAATATTTCTTCCTAATGTTATTTCCAACTAAATACGGAATAAACATCCATTTTACAAAAATCATTCTCGTATTCGCTTTAAATGTAACTTACACGCACGTAGTTTGTTATTAAGAAGCTGCACAAGAAGACGACTAGTACCTATCTATTCCGACTTGTTTGTAAACACCTGGAAGCTATGACAGCCTTGAAAGAACATTATTAAGAGTGACAACATATACTTAGACTACTTCATAATTAAGAGCATTAGCACTCAGACCTCAATTCCGTGATAATCCTACTTATGTATGCCTCACAGATCACAAATAAGTCGCTTATTTGTGATCTGTGAGGTTACCATTAAGTATAATTTACTTTGCAATTAACTTGTAATAAGGCTAGTTTATTACTTGACAGTGACACCTTAGTCAACTAAACTATAATTTCAGGTACAAAGTCTGCAACACCGATCCGTGCCCTATCAATGAGCCTACGTTCAGGGAAGTTCAGTGCTCCAAGTTTAATAACATGACATACAAGAATGAAACAATCTCCGAATGGATACCATATATTGACCAAGGTTTGAAATTGTCTATATTATTATTATTTTTCAATTGGTTCGGTTTATATTATTGTTGTTATGTAATTTGATTGCAGATAAACCGTGCGATTTACAATGCGTGCCTCGCAATCGTAATGATATAGAGATGATTGGCAGCTTCGTAGCAGACGGAACACCCTGTAGACAGGGTCTTGGAGTTCGGGATATGTGTATAGGTGGTACGTATATTATTTTATTCATTTGATAATCAAGTTCTCTAATTAGACATTTAAAATATTTTAAGAACACTTAAATTAAACATATATCAAAGTTACTCACTAATTAAAATTTTAGACACCAAATCGTAATAAAACCTTAATACGTAAACGAATTTGTCCTGTAGAAAATAAGAAGAAGAATATTTGACCTCACTAACTCCAGAATGAAATAAAACCAGTCTCAAATCACATAGATTTTTGAATCCCAAATCCAATAACTCATCTCTAGGCAGAGAAGCTTAAACGGATTCTTAAATCCATATTAAACACGAACTCAATTTGACAAATTCGTTCGCCATTTACAACATTTATTGGCCCTATTAATTGATCTTAACAAAATACAAACGAGCAGTGAATCAAATGAAACGTAAACCTTTAATCTAAAGTTAAAACCTTCCACTTAATAACCTTTATCCAGGCGTGTGCTACAAAGTGGGTTGTGACTGGATCGTGGATTCCGATGCTGAAGAGGACGCGTGCGGTGAGTGTGGAGGAGACGGCTCCGCGTGTAGGACAGTACAAGGGATATATAACAAGGATACCACTCGACAGTCTGGTTATAGCGAGGTGAGTCAAAACAAAATAAGACACTCTTGTCTTCGCAATCGGTTAATGTACAGTTGACGAAACGTAAGGTAAAATAAATCAGAAGTCAAAACAAATCACCTTTATCTTCTCAGTCGGTGATTGTGGTTGATGTTCAGTAAACGTAACATAGGCTAGATTGTAATTTTAATAAAATAAAACGCCTAGTACATGCGAAAAATATAGTTATATTTAAATAAAACCAAATACCATTCTAAGTTACGGGCAAATTTTTTATTTCATATGATACTTATAATGTTACCGAAACCATAATATCTCATTATAGTAATTTTCCAATATTGCATATGAGATTTTTTTTTGTTGCAACGGAAAACTATAAGGAATATTCAAAGAACTTAATGTAAAAAATATAATAGATACTAACTATTTTTTACTAAAAATAATCCTTTGAAACGTACCGTCTGGTATAAAATTTTGTTTTATCATTTATTATGTAGATACGAAATCGTAAACTTCGTTGCCCGATTGCAGTTTAATAAAAGACTTAAATTGGTAACGTGCCAAGAAATGTAGACCAATAAATTTCGTGAACGTATTGACTTTAACAAGATGTTGCTAACCAAATAATTTCATAGGTTGCGGTAATACCAGCTGGATCTAGAAATGTGAAGATTCAAGAAAAAGTCAGCCCTGGAAACTATATTTCAATTGGAAGCGCTAAATCTAGAAAGATATATCTTACTGGAGCACGGTGAGATATTTTTACAATGCTTAAATAAAATGATGAATTCATATTGTACTCTTGACTTATTAATGTTATATGTTTTAGAAATGCAACTTTAACGGAGTACTTCGTAGCCGGAGCTCAAGCTATCTATGAAAGGGATCGTGATTGGGAAAAAGTTAGGATCAGTGGACCCCTCGCTGAGGACATAAAAGTTTATGTAAGTAATACATTTTTTTTATGGGAACAGGGGGCAACCGAGCAGACGGTCTACTTGATGGTAGGTAGTTGCCGTCGCCCAGTACATCTGCAAAAGTAGATTTGCCGATGTGTTGCCGCCCTTGTTTGGGGAAAATGGGGAGTAAAAGGTGGGGCAGGGAGGGAAAGGAAAGGGCAGGAAAGGGTGGGAAAAGGGAAAGGGCAACCGGCTCTCACTCACCGGACGAAACGCAGCCATTAAAGACTACTTCACGCCGATTTTCTGTGAGAAAGTGGTACTTCCCCGGTCGAGCCAGCCCATGCTCGAGCTGTAGTAACTTGACCACAGCTAGGCTCTACCACTTCAATACATACATACATGTGTAATGTGTATATTTTTCACCTAATTAATATCCCTTTAATAAGTATAAGTCAAACAGATGCATTATTAGAGTAAGAGCATTACTTTTATTTAACATTTTCACACAGAAACAATTCAGCTGTTCGAAATAATTTTAATCAAAATATCTTACATGATCCTATACTATACTTTATATCAATTTCGTCTTCAAATATAAATATGTGCCAACCCTAACAGCAACGCATCTTCCGCGGCAAGCATCGCAACCCTGGCGTGACGTATCAGTATACAGTGGACCAACCTAAGTCAATGAACCGCTATCGTCTGTCAGACTGGAGCGCATGTTCCGTAACCTGCGGCCTCGGACGGATGTACCGACACTACGTCTGCGTGGACCAGCACAACCGTGAGCTATGAAATTAAATATACTATTCCAACGAAACGAGATAAATTACGTAAACAAGATTGCTAGACTGATTACAACAGTGACAATACCTTGATATAAATATGCGCTCACATAAATATATTTTTTTTATATTTTATGTTTCGTAAATGATGACGTAATAAAAACGAAATAAATTTTCTCATTGCAAATGTTAGTAGCGCTTACAACTACGAATATAAATCCGTTTCATTCCAAGAATTACAACTTAAGTTGAGAAAATTATCAATATATACCTATAGTGAAGCAATAAAGTTGTTTACAATCGAAAAATTCAAATATAATAATAATTCAAAAATGTTTCCAGGTCAAGTTGAGTTATCCCAGTGTTACCACATGGAGCAACCTCGTCTTGGCGCGTTAGTTCAGCAGTGCCGGTCTGTCTCCTGTACACACTGGTGGGTCGGACCATGGAAACCATGCTCCATTTGCCATATGCCGGTAATTATACATACTTATATAGAAAGAGTATATATGTACCTTCTTTGGATATTTGAGATTTTATTTCTATGAATAAATTGAGTTTGTCTGTTACTATGTGAGGAGGTATTTTAAATAGGTACGTAAACAAAGTGCGTGCAGTGAAAACAAAAACAGAATAACATTTTTTTTGCGTACAAAAAGTGGAATTCGTAGCTATATTTATAACACCTCGTTATACATTACTTTGATTAACGGCAGTATAAAATTGTAAACTATTTTTTTTGGACATTACTAATATCTGATCAATGCGCACCTTTCGAAAAAAAAAATAAACAAGAACAAACATCAACTTTTGTATGTTAGATTCATGCTTAAAATACATACTCTGTCAATGTATATTTAAACTAAGATATAAATTAAATATGGTTCTGAATATTTTATCGTTAAAATAAAAAATGTCTTGTTTCCCAAAGTTTTTTTAAAAATAGAATCATTGGTTTTCGTAATTAGAAAATAATGGATTATGAGCAATTCCTCTCATAACTAAGAACAAAATTGTTGTTACAGGGCGAGGAGGCTACTAAGAAACGTAATGTCCACTGCGTGAACAAAACATCCAACCAGGTTGTTGACGACTCAGAATGCGATATGTCAACTAAGCCGATAGGCGTTATCAAATGCGCAGACGTACCAGCTTGTTGAACAAAACGATGCTGTAGTGAAAGGGAAAAGTGTATCTTGTAATATAAATCTCAACGACAATTTTAACTTGAAAGAGACAAACGGGAAACGATTAGTTTCACCTGACGACACAAACTACGATTGTATCGATGCAAATGAGATGCAAAATTCATTGAAGCTGCAAAAAGATATTTACGTTACGAAATCATATAAATGCACCAAACGTGCAAGGATTTCTTTTGAAGTGTACGGTGATTTGGAAGTTCGTATTTGAATTCGTTTTAACGTGCGGCTATAAAAAAACTATCCGGGTTGAAGCAAGGCTTAATAATGTTAAGCAATTTGAGACAGGCATTATCACTTTACATAACTCGAATAGAATCACTTGCGGGGACGTTACAAACTCCAAATCATGGACGTATGTGTCACCGCAATTACCACTTACTGCCATATTATTTAGGTTACGTTTAGTTTAACATAGTCTTCGCTTAGTTTTAACTACTAATACATAATTCTGTAACAGTATTAAAGTGGTGTATGTATTTTCTTACACAAAACCGACGTGAACATGTTAGTATATACTATAAAATTTGGACCAAAAATATTTTATAAATCAAATTCACGTTGCCATAATTGCGGTTACTGCCAATATGACACTTGTATGATAAGTAATATTTAAGTTTTTACTAATAATAAAAATTCATATTTTTATACAAATCAATTGCTTCATTAACATCATAAATACATTTATTTTATAGAATAGCTAGTCATATAAAGTATATTTTTATAACATCACTTCTCAATCGCCGCGAAACATCCACTCATTATAATTTTTTTAACGGCAATGATGTATCTGTATAAAAATAATGAATTCTTCAAATGCCTATTACTGGAATACCGATATATTTATTATTAACATGTTGTTAGTGTCCTTTGTATGTTCAAGTGATTACGCATAATTTAATAATAGTAGGTACTTTATTTATCTTATACCTAACTATATATTTAGGTGTAATCTTGTAAATGAGTTAACTGATGTTTCGGTTCTAAGACTCGTCAGTCAACAGTTTGTCGAACAATTGATACACAATTTTAATTTCAAGTTTCTTTATAAACTAACCCTTAGTTGTATAATCATTTATACACTTTTTTTACAATGTAAAGACAATCACGCTGATATAATTACAATTGTGTATTTAATTAGAGATGGCAATAAAAACGTGCATTGTTCTTATTTTCTTTTATTTGTATTTTTTACCAATCCTAAAAAATGATACCTTAAATAATCGACTCTTGACAATTTGATGAATATTTAAAAAAAAAAATATAGCAAATGAAAAATCGAAATTATAACCTAAGGTTATATTAAAAGCCAAAATAATCATATGGTTTATTATATACCTTAATTTAAAACATCCAAATGATTGAGACATATTTCGTTTTATAAACTACACACATTCAAATTAAATTTTAACATTACAATGAAATCACAGAGCAAGTGGAGATCGCATAGTAATTAAATCAAAATAATTATTTTAATAATTTAAAAATGTTCACAGTTATTTGAGAACTGATAGTAAACAATCATCAAAAGTTTTTGTAAGAATATAAGAAAAATATAGTTATTCATATAAGTAAATAGAGATCTTTTTAAAAATAAAACTACCATATATACGCAATGTATTAACTTAATGAGTACATTTTACATAGTATGCCCTAAAATTTTATAAAAACCATCCCATTTACGATGGCATGTATACATCTTAGACATTGACTTAATTTTAAAGACAACACAGTGTAAAACCTAAAAATATAATATAAAAAATACAGTAGGAGTAAGCATCTTCATTTTCTGCTTTTATTTACAACCTATTATTAGAAAATAAGAAAAAATAATAATATAGTGTGGCAATCAAAATCACATGAAAATAAACAAAATATTTTTTGGCATTTACTAAACATACCAATCATAAATGCCATTCTAACGACAACTAATCTCATCTTACCGTATCTCTAACACATATAAGATATTATATAGAAATACATAAAGTCGTTTTGATACACAAAATTGACCACTAAGATAAAAAATTGCTTAGACAGCTAACATTTATAGTACCAAGTGACTTGACATCTAGGCTTAAAAAACGGACGAAAATTCAACTCTATTTGTCCCTTTCACAATTCCATCCTTTTTTCTTCTGAAAAAGACATAATCACTCCATTTGATAACTACCATTTAATGATTCTTACGAATCTCGAACAGCAACGAGAAAGCAATATTAACAAAGTAACAAAATAAAGACAAAGCCAAAAATTTCTACCATATTGGAAAACGAAAAAAGCAATTTTCTACAAACAGAATTCTTGAAACAAAATAACATATTTGTCCACAAAGTATAGATACCACTACTAAATGTCATGAACATTTTATAAAAAAAAAGTCAATGAACAAAAATAAGAAATTAACGAAAACACATAAATAAGATCATTAACATACCAATTTAACTGAATTTCACAATTCAAATGTAATCAAATCAAATGGTTCTAAAATAGAATATAAGAAAAAAGGGTAAATATTATTAAGAACTCAAATTACTAACCATACTGATAACAAATAAAATTTCTTTTTTATAACAGTTATAAATATTGCTGGCTAGTTAGATATTTTTTAGACAGAAAATTTAATCTTTTATAACAAAAATAAATGTAAACAACTTTGCACTTTTGCGATTTTTTTTATTCATATTTTGTAATTAAATAATAAAATATTATTTATATATATATTTAAGTTTCAGAGCTTGTATCCTTTGCAAGAATAGCCTCAGATGACACATCAAAGCGTACTATACTTTTCTTTTTACTTGGAATTTTCTGAAAGTATTGTAAATAAAATAATAACAACAAAAAAGAAAAAGAGCTCAAAACGAAATCAAAACAACAAAAATATTTAAATTTAGAAATAAAAATAAGGAACATGAAATCAATAAACATTATTTTACCTTGTCTTTGATCCTTGAATCTGTATTCCGTGATCTTTCCTTCTCTAAATCTGTATGAAGAGCAGCAAGCTCAGCCGTCAACTCTGATTGGACTGATCGTAGTTTTTCCACCTCAATTAATATTTCTGCCTTATCTTTCACTTTAAAAAATAGATATTAATGTATAAGTTACACTTTCAAAATACTGAAGATTTTGCTTGAAAGTATATGATTAAAACTACTTACTTTCACCCTGTCCAAGTATATTGCAAAGTTTCTTATTCCTTGATTTCACTGTTAAAAGCTCCCCCTTTAAATCTACAATCTCCTGTTTAAGAGCTGCTATTTCTTTATCTTTTTTCTCTAAAGCTTCTGTAAATTGAATCCTTGTAATGATCTCATCTGAAACTGTTTGATGTCGCACCCTCGTAATTATCTTCTCTTTGAGGAGCTCATTCCTTGTGTCACTTTGGACTCTGTCAAAGAATTTTGTGTCTTTTTCGGGTTTTAAGTCAACAGATGGATTTTTCTCTGACATGACATTAACAACTAAAACAAAGAAAATATAGCTCATATTAAAAAGCAGACAATTCAAAATAATAATGATATTGTTTTATACTTTATACACAAGACACCAAATTGTCTTTTTTACATCAAAATAAATAAATAAAAATAAACCTTTGCTAAGCAGCATAAGAGATATAGAAATAGAAAATTAAAGAGAAATCTGTTGCTGAAAATAAGAATGCTTACAATTTGGTTCCTCTCCGTGACTGATCATGTCATTGAATTGTTCAAGACTCATGACATTCTTCTTTTTCTGTTTCTTATGGCCAGGGCGTGTTTGTTCCTCTAATTTCTTTACCAAATCAGCCTCTTGCTTCAATTGTTGGTAGACATCCTTTTTTTCTTCATAGTCAAGCTTAGAAAGCAAAATAGCCTACAAAAAAAACACAAATTTTGTATTGACATCTAAAATTAAGATTTCTATTATTTTACAAAGTTATTGCAACATCCTTTATATTGCAAGACATAATTCACCTCCTGGAGCTGTGATTCAAAGTTCCCATCGACAATTTCTTCATCCTTTTGCTTCCACATCTCCCATTGTTCAGTTGTAGCTTCTACTGGCTTATGCTTACGCTTTTTAACCAAACTCTGAAATATTAATGATTTTACTTTAGCTGAGTAACTACTAACTAGTACTATAAGATTGAAAAAATCTTATGAAACTCTTCAATTGTACTAAGTGCACTTATTGTAGAAATTAGGAAAAGGCAAAAATCAAACCAACATTTGAACGGACCTAAGTTTAATTTTGGCAATAATTTCTTCCTTTGGTTCACTTTAATATAATTATTAATAATTAAAATGGTATAATTACCATTATGAATAAATTTAGTTTTACTAGTTTACCATGAAAAAATGGAATTTTTAATATATTATACTCATATCCAAATTCTGATATATACATTAACATTGTACATACATATAAAATATTCAAATACATAGTAAATAAGAACATTTTATATTATATATATAATTATTAAAAAATTCAATAAAATTATACAAAATATATGTGTTAACTTACTTGCTGAGGTTTAGTATTAGTTATTTTTAAAGGCTTCTTAGGTGGATCCGCCTTTTTAGGTGGAGGAGTTTTATTTTTTTTGTTTTTTTGATTATCATTAGAGGCTTGTTCATCGTCTTCTATTTTGAGGCCGGCAAAACGTGATTGAACTACTAGAGTAGACATTTTTCGCAATGGCTCACTTAAAAAGGATTAACTATTAAAGCTAAAACATCAGAATTAACGCAAAATTTTCTTTACAAATATTTTATAAAACTATATAGTTTACTTTATTTTATACAGAAAAAATATATACCTCATAGTTTTAAGATGCCGCACAATCAAATATGGTGTGGATAGAGATAAATACCCAGGACAATATGTAACTAGAACTTAATTATTTTTACTTATTGCTGTTGTATATGCTATTTTTAGGAATTGTTTACTATATTATTCAAATTTAATATTTGCACAAATATATGTAAATTGTTAGACCGACCCGGATGTTGACATTTGACAGAAAAAACATATTTTATCAGAAACAAGTCAATTTTAAGCTGGTGTATTCTAATAGCGAATCTAAATTCTTAAATTAATACTAGTCAAAACATCACCATAACAAATTATTAAATAATAATAATATTTGTTGATTACACAAACTGTAAACTTTTGTTTGTAAGATGATAACAATTACAACCAATAGCCTATTTAATTGTTTTATTATTCTTGTTTTATATTTCAAAGTGAGAGGATAATATTTTTTTTTCTATAAATAAGAAATTATATATGATTAATAGGCAAATTGCTTATCTCTACATGATTTAGAAGTCATTTTTGACTCTCTGACGGTTGATCGATTGTTATTTGACATAAATTTTTCATTCATAGGTTTCGGGTCAGGCCGATTAACGTGGAACTAAGATTTATTGTTTTGACCGAATAAAAGATTTGGCGGGTACTGGATCGAAAATTGGAAAACGTTATGTCTTATAAAATTATTTAATTTTAAACGAAATAAAAATGAAACTGCAGTGTCAAGTGGAAGTTGTTAATAGAAAACATTTTAGTTTAGACGTAAGACCAAAAAATAAGTATTTAAAGTCGACACTTGCCTTAGGAAAGGAGCCAAAAGATGACAAAGGATACTTTATTTTGCATTTTTCTACTGTTAATAAACAAGGAACAAAATATAGAGTGAGCAATATGAAAAATGTCTTTGTGAAATTTTTAAACGAAGGCAAAGTTACACTGCGCTTTACTGAACCATGTCATGATTTATGCATAAGAAGTGAAGTAATACAATTGAAGAGTTTCATGAAATTACTTCAATCATGCATTACTGGTGACTCAGATAACGTAAAACTTTCAAATCTGTCCTCTCTCGGACTAGTGTCTAAAGATATGGCTCCAACTAAATTGACAATTAATAATCGATCTGAATTTCCCGCTAAAGGACTACCCAGAACTCTTGAATCTCTCTATATTGTTGGTCTTAATCTCTGCAATTTTCGAAGAGATATACTTCTACTTAACCATCTGGCTATACTTGATTTGAGTAAGAATGAAATTGAGAAAATTCCTCCTGAATTTGGTAAGAAACACAAAAATATTATTAAAACTTTTTTACCTAAAAATAGTATTTATAAGTGAACTTGTATGTTTTCAGGGAGACTACCCAATCTTACTGAACTTTATTTATCAAACAATTCCTTAGGACAAAAGGAGGACTTTGATTGGAGATGGCTTTTAGGACCTGGGGTATTTATTTGTTTTTTTTATCATGTTTATGTCTTAGTCCTTTGTTTCTTTTATTTTACATATATATTTTTGTAGATTTCTAAAAAGCTGAAACTTTTGGACCTTAGTGCAAATAAAATATCTACCCTACCCAAAGATATTTGGAAACTTCAAACCTTGGTCACTTTTAAGATTGACTTCAACAAACTGGAAAGGCTACCACCAACTATAGGTCGCATTCAAACCTTGAGGTATATATAATACTTTAATTTACATTTTAATTGTAACCAACTTTTAGTAATATTTTATGTGATTTTTTTCAGATATTTTTCAGTTTCTAACAACAATTTGGTGACACTGCCATGCAGTCTGATGCAATGTAGACTCGAAACTATTGATTTGTCATCAAATAAATTTAATTCGGATACAGTTGGTGCAAAAATGGCTAATTACACACCATGGGAATTATGTGCCCACACCTTGGTACACATTGCAGCTAAAGCAGTGTTAAGAAATAAAATCTATTATGCACCAAACATTGTACCATACACATTAGTAGAACTAATGGATAACGCCAATATGTGTGTTTGTGGTAAGCCGGTGTTGAATAACGCGAGATTCATTATAAAGGAATTTCAGCTGAAAGATTTCTTTCGGGTTGTTGTTTTTGATAATAATGGTGATAGCTCTGTTGGTTTTGAGTGCTTCTTTTGTTCACCAAAGTGTTATGCCAGATGATATCTGCTTTTATTAATCTGCATTGGAACTGCAGATTAATAATAATTACTCTATTCCATAATGAATCATTGAAATACTTGAATTGGTAAAATGACCTTTTGAATATAAATTTTTACTGTGGTTTAAAAATTAATAACATCTAAATGTCATAGGTTTATAAATGATTAGATGAGTTATAAACTTATTGCAATGCATGAACTTGCGAAATGTCTATTTAAATTTATTATAATTATAAAATTTGTAAGTGTGTATACAATTAAATTTTAACAGTGATTTCTAGTAATAAGTATACTTCTTAGAATTTATCCATGTAGTAACCATTTTGCTTATAAACATTCTTTTTGCCAAATGTTGATATTACTGTAAGTGGCTATGAAGATATTAATATACCATTTTATTAAAAAAATTAATGTTTAATGATCATATTGTTGTAATAAGTAATAGAATTATTAATAAGCATTTTATTTATTATGTATCATAAATGTGACAACAATTTGGTAATTCTTATGGTGTATCTGAGTTTTTCAGACAGAAGCTGGGAACTTCTGTTATGATATATTCTTTGTATAATCAATTGTAATTATAAGACCATCTGACTTTTACCACAGATACATTAAAAAGCTTAGCAGTATAGTATAAGACATAATCAAAAAAATTTGATCTCATCCATTGTAATTGTTAAGTACATAATTATGCAGGTGTAATTTTAAAATAATTATTAATACGCTTTTGCATTATATGTTTAGTAAGTCTGTAGTTGGGTGTCATATTTTAATAAAATACTCTTTATATATATCTTTTTTTATTTATATTCTTTAAAAAAATATTTACATTCCTTTACATATTATCAACACTAGTTAAGTCCATCAAGCATCCATGGTATATCATGTATAATAGGTGCTATCCTAATTTGAGGTTCTGAAAAAAATATTTAATTTATTGTTAGGATAGGCCGAAGAAAGAATAAAAAAACACTATTTCGTTCCTTTAATGGAAGTAGATATTTTTTGTTTGTGGGCTCAATTTGATGAGTTTATTATGTATTAAATTATGTATAATTTATGAACATGTTGAAATATCTTGAATAATTTAAGAAAAAGAAATATGTTTCGTATATGTATATTTCTTTATATTTTAATTAATCTTTGTATGAAGGAAATTTTTAGTAACAGTTGATGTCACTTGTTTTGTTTATTGCAGGATAATTTTTAGAGCTCTCAGACTTACCAAGGGTAGCCATTCCCTGAGGTATCACACTGCATCCTTCTGGTACATTTTCTGCTTCAATGGCCGCGTTTGTAGCTTCTAATGTGAAATTATTGCTCCAAATCTGTTTAAAGCTTTCTTTCATATCTTTAAGTAATTTTCCGAGACTTGACTAAAAGAAACATCAAATGTACCTATACAATTATCGATATTTTATAATAAAATTAATCAAGCTTTTTAACAATTACCTGCAGATCTAATGCTTCCTTATTTTTTTCTAAACAACATAAAGCAATATTAAGTTCCTTTATTGATGAACGCATATCAAATGTTGTTGTTATTAAGCTGTGTAATGCTAATACAAGCGCTGTGTCTTCATACTGAGAACCTTCCTTAAGTGATGCCACTTTACGTTCATGCTTCCTGCGATTTTTACTCGATCGGTATGACCTCCTAGAAATATATAAATATATGTATTATTAAAACACCAACGTAATATATAATATTGAGTAGCAGTCAATCTTGTAACTAAACATAAAATAATTTCAACTCAATGATCTAATGCTAATATAATACCCATATGGTGTGTGGATATTAAATACCTAAAAAAGAAATTCCATCTTGACAATAAAAGACAAAAATCATACCCAGAGCCTGAAGATGCAATCGTGCTGCCAGCATCAGAATATAAATCGCAATCCCTCGTAGCGAACGAATCATAGTTTTCAGCAGGTTTTTTACTTTTATTTTCTCTAACAACTTGAAGACGATTTCTGTACGTAATAAATTTATTCGAGTTGGTTTCCAGCAAGTCCTTCGTGTTGTTGTATTCATTCATTAGAGATGGCAATAAACTTTTAACTGCAAATAGAAATATTACATGCTTTCATTTATAAGCTAAAATGTTTATAAAAACCATTTTATCCCAATTTAAAAATTATAAGTAATATTTGTCACTCTAATTATAAGGATAGGAAACTTTAAAAGCTCTAAAGGACACATACCAATTAAATCTCTCTTATTGTATTTTGAACATAATCTTAAAGCGGTTTTATATTGAGCACATTCAATAGCCATACAAATTACATCTTCACCATCTTCACTTATTGTGTCCAAAACTGTCAATGCCTCTGTAAACCTCTTTTCGTCTTTTAATGCGTTTGCAATATCCCTAAAACAAATATAAAATATACATATAATTTTTTAAATTTTGAGCTACTGTATAAATGTCTCTACTTAAAAGCAATAAACACTCAAAATACTATAATATGCTCACCAACATAGGTCTTTTAATTCTTGCTTTGTTTTATTTCGGGCTAAATTCAAAACTAATTCCCACTCAAGTGCGTCTTTGTAACATTCAATGGCTTTATCAATACTTTTAGCCGTTTCATATATAATACCAGCCTCTACATATTGTTTTTTTAATTTTAAGTATAGGCCAAAGTCATCACAAATCTGTTTGTATATTTCATCATCTTTAGTAAAGAGGTCCAATGCTTCTCTATAAAGACTGTGATATTTAACAAAAGTTTTTAACTCCTCATACCTAGATGCACCACATTTAGCAAGTGATTGGACGGCCTTATCAAATCTTTTTAAATGTTTGTTTATTGTGAATCTTTTATAATTTTCATCCATTTCATTTAATTCATTCAGCATAGCGACATATTCTTTTGGGTCCTTCTGTGATTTGTTAGCAACTAATAAAACAAGATCAAAGTCATACATTCCAAGTGCAACATCAAATAGTTGATCAACATTCACCATGTATAACAAATATTTTAGGGCCTCATCTGAGGTGACTGGTAATTTTGAACCAGCAGATTCTTGTACTTTAAGTTCTTTTATTACATTTAATGCCTTTTCTAGGTCATCTATTGTATTTTTCTTCACATAAGTTGTCAGCAATGGTAATATTCTTTCCTTACTATCAGAGGAAGAAGACAAACAATTTCTTAAAATACCACAAACATGATGTATTTTTCTTAAAGTTTCTATATCAGTAGTATTTTTTCTTTCAGGATAGCTGCTTGAATACATAGTTCGAGTAACATCTTCATTTTCGAGGTCTGATAAGAAAAGGCTGAGCCATGAATTGCTTTTTATAGATGCTAGAAAAACATTTATATTGTCTATGAAAAGTTTAGGATTGTGATCATATATCAAATTCAAGTTTATTCTCTGCTTCCTCATTAAATCAAAGGCTTCATAGTACTTTAATGAGTCAAGATATTCTCCAATAATTTTCAATGACAGAGGTCTTGGTTGGATTGTTTCCAAATTTCCTCTGGGCATTTGGAAAATAGTTCTTGTACCATTGGGCACTGAAATAACTAACTTAGCCCCTCTTTCCACTTTTCTACTATAAACATTGGGTGATTCAGTTTTTTCATATGATTCCAATGCATCTAGACCCATTTTTGTGAGCTCAATACAAAGAAGCATGTGTTTCAATGTTGTCAATAAAAGATAACTGGTATGAACATAAAAAGAATTCACATTATTCATGACTAAACTATTGTTTATGTACAAGTGTCCCTTGTGTGAAAGTCCTAAGAAATATGTATCATCATCAACTGAGAAAACATTAAACATAGGACATGTTTCTGGTAGTACTATATCTTGTAGCTGAATAGTATTATCTGAACTATATTCTAAAATTTCACCAGAATCCATTTGCAAGAAAACACTTGTATTTATTAAGGGATGACTAACAATATGTGTTAAAGCAAAAGGTATTAATTGTTCACTGTGTCTGATTAATTTTTCTGAGGATATTTTGTATTGAATAATTTTGTTATTATCATCACAATCAACTGCAGCACACAATATAGTCTCATTATCCAACCAATGCCAATTATAAAATTGAAAAGGAAACTCAGATTTTTCACTATGTATTATTTTAGTTATTTTATATTCAAGGGGATTCTTTTGTATTTGTTCCATAAATACTAATTTATCATTCATACATATGAAAAATGAATTTGAGTCTAGGTAATAAGGTGCAAAATGAATAGAATTTATGCTTGAATCAAATTCCATTTCAAAACCAGCCATTGGCGGTGGCACAACTGTATATCTAAAGGCTGTGAGTAAAACTTTGTTTCCATCTATCACAGATACAATTGCATCATCTTTATCAGATTTTCCATAACTGTGATTTATATCAAAAATCCAAGTATATGCAAGGTACTGACCATTATCTAGTATAAGATGCATTTTTTTATTATTCGCAACATCAAAATCATTATCCCACATTAGTTTAGTAATTTTCTGGTCAGCATTGAAAAATAACTGCTGTTTAAGATACCAATGGTAGTTGCTTGATGTAAAGAGTAAAATCTGTTGAGTATTATCAGCTTTGTCTGTGCATAATAGAGTTAAGATCTCAGAATCAGAGCTCCAGAAGATATCTTCAACAGTAGTAGTTGAATTGACAGGTATTATAAATTCTCCATGTTTAAGACCATTCTTCTCAAAGAATGATACAAGATATTTTTCAGGGAGTTTTTGTGTAGTTGCTATTAAATTTCCACTAGGCCTCCAAGACAGGTTGGCTTCAAGACCAGGTTGTTTTTCACTTGTATACTGCAAGTTACCTTCTCTGTCAAATACTTTAAATCGTCTTATGCCATCAATAACAAACCCAACGGCAAACAAGTCTCCATCCCCTCTCCATGAGATAATAACTCTATTATTAGATTCACTCATGTCACCTGGAAAAAGACAAATTATGATATTGGTTAACTTAATTTAAAAATTTTATTTTATAAATTGTTTGTAAGTATCTTTTATACTATTCATCATGATAGGCAAAATAGAAATGTTGTTGTGACCTACTACAATAATAGATAAGAAATTTTTTAACTTTACCTACAACTTCAGTTTTTGCTTTTGCCGCTTGTTTTCCTTCGGAGCCATGGAATTGAGTTTCTTTCTTTCCCCAACCAACAGTAATAAATTGTTTTTCTCCAAAATCTTCACTCAGCAAGTAATATTCATTTATTGGGTCAAATGTGCAAGACATTAGTATCACTTTCAGATCTTTGGTTACCAGTGTTAATAGTTCTTGATCTGGACTCCACTCCATGGCCTATAAAAAATAATATTAAGAAAATGTTTTGAATTTTGAATTAATGAAATATATATGCTACATACCAGTAATCCATTTCCACAGACGCCAGCGAGGTCGCAGGTACTTCCAGAATCATTAATAGTAAATAACTCCCCATTTGACATGCCTACACTTACAGAATTAGATAGCGATAAAAAGGAAACATTAACTGGTAAGTTTTCTTGGACTGCCTCATTGGGGAGTTCAATAAGCCACTTTTTGTTGCCATCGCTGTCAAAGCAGCTAACGACACCATTGACCGAGCATACGAAGAATTCACCGGTGCAAGAATCATCAGGATGGCCGTAACCAACAAAAAATTTATCATTACATTCTATTATTCGTTTCTTTGTTGAAACTTTCCACAAACGCAAGTTCTTCATGTTGTTTCTATGGATATGTACTTGTTCATAAAACTTTTCGTGCCTGTTATCATAAATTGTTTTATTTCTTTTTGAAGTAGATATAACCCGTATAATAAATAAACGTGTTTTTAGTTTTGTGTATGACGTTTGATGCCAGTGTGAGTGACATTTATGATTTAGGATTGCGTTGAAATCTGGTATTTTAACAATTATTGTGAAATAATATCAAATATTATCACCAAATTTAAATTAATTTTTGATTACAATTTTAATATTTAAATTAACCTTACATAACTTTTATTTACTTCTATTACTTTTCTTTTTTATTTTTAAGCAACTAAATGATACCAATCTCATTTTCAAATTCCTCTAATTGGCTCCTAAATATTTGTGTATTGTATAGTGCTTTTTTTTTGTTTATTTTTCCAGGAATGCTCTAAGACAATGTTTATATAGGCTGCGTTATCAAAAATAACTGGTTACCGAGCTTTGCTCGGTATTTAGGAATGATAAGTATTTATTTTGTGTTTTTTTTGACGTAACAACGTCTTTAAAATCGTTTTAGTCGGGTGACATGTTCAGAAACTTGAGTCACACCAAAACCTCACGAGCGCGATCGCAGGTATAACGAGAGAGAGACGGACCGATCACCCGTCTCATCTCGAGCGCTGCCAGTCATTCCGTGAAACTTGTCACGCGGAATCCTCACGAGCGGAGGCAGGCATAGCGTTCGAGTGAGTGGATCGATCTTCCGTCTCTCTCACTCTAGCGACATACAAACGAATGAATACATACAAACGAATGAATACATACAAACGAATACACCCGAAATTTATCATCAAAAGTGTGAATAAAACGATAGATGTAATTTAAAATTTGAAAAAATTTTTATCTTCACGAATTCCTTACTTCCCAAAAACTTATATCACCAATAAGACGTTATCACGTAAACATCTCGATCGTAAACCTACTTTACAAACAACCAATACTTTTTTTTAATTTTGTTTAGCCATTTTTAAGTGAACACGTTAAGAAGACAAAACAATATAAATCAACAATGAATTTCTAAGTCTAACCTCAAAACAAAAACTCTTTGCCTTCCTGGTACTTAAAAACGCCATCTACTGTTGTGTCGTTAAAGTAATTACTAAAAGCAATTTCCAAAAACTAGTATTACCATTCGCCAATAGATGTCAGGAAGAGTCAAATTGTAAACGACTCCTTTTTGATTTTTTAATAAAATAACATTTTCTGGAAATGATTCCTAGCTAGAGCGATTTATCGCCCCCGAAACCTCCTATATACTAAATTACATGAAAATCGTTGGAGCTGATTATATTTATAAATAAATACACAAGAATTGCTCATTTAAAGATATAAGATAACTGTTGAAAATGAACCAAACTGACGCGGACGATGTGAAAAATAAATTCAAAAAATATCAGTTTTTTAAGGAAATTAAAAGTAATATTCCTTACATGTTTATTTAATGATTCCTATATTGTTATATATAGGTTGTTCTTGTATGAAAAACCTATATAAAAAATATAAACTTGTTATGTATAACAATTTCATTTTTTATAAGGATAAAAGAATCACACTCCTTTGTTGAGGGTTTGTTAAAAATTATGTGCTATTATCCAAATAAATATATTTAAAGAGTTTCCTTAGATATAGACGAATCCCAAGAATTATAGAATATGGACAGTATGAAAAATTATAACTTAATAGTGAAGAATAATTAACAAATAATAAGTTGTGTATCATTAAATTAAGCATTTATTTTTACACACTAAACTTACTACAACACTGATATATGGATACAAATTTTACACTTTTGGGTAGTAAGTAGTTTCAAACTTCTTTCTACATCTTGGATATGGCCTCAATGCCTTGGGAATATATGGTGGCAAATGGTCATCCAATCTTCTAATAAATGGATTAGTACCCAACTCAAATGGCCTCCTCTTAGCTTCAAAGAATCTTGTATTGTGTTCTATTTTATATATTCTCTCCCACAAGTATGTTTCCGGCAACAATTTATGTTTTGGTCTATTTGACATCAAATGTTTGTATGTTGATTCTAGCCATGATCGTTTATTATCATCTTCTATGTCTGCTACAAACTGTTCTTCCTTACCCAGGTAGGGTTTCATATCATGTTCTCTCTCTTCGGGAGCATTCAAATAGAACTGAACAAGCATTTTCAATACATCGTCATTTAAACCTTTTACTTTACCATTTTCAATTGTGTCATAAAGATTCATAGGTTTTGTACCCATGCAGATGTTATGTTTAGGATTATCAAGATCATCATTGTGCATAGAAATTGTATTTAACTGATATACATAAAATGATATTAAATTTCCATTTGTTATAACTGTCTGAGTTACTAATGGGTAAGTCAGGTCATTATAGGTAGTGAAGCCTTGATAGTTGGCTTGGGCTAATAGCCAACCAAAACTAGTCTTCATAGCTTGGCAATGGAGGGCTTCTAAATTATCTTCAGTGCCAAAAGACTCGGGTCTGGCTAACATATGACCACGGCCATGATAAGAAATGAGGCCAAATTCATCAAAATCGCCGGGCCAGAATCCTGTGAAAAACAGTGCAATGGAATTTAATAAAAAAGCAAAACTGATAACCTGAGTTATATAGAGGTTTGAAAATCTACAAACCTTTTTTATAATAATGATAAAAATTATACTACATTCAAAAACATACTAAAGAAATATTCTAAAGGCAATTGTTAATTCTAAATTCCTAATTTTAAACGACATCTACATAGGTCTTAGATATTTCACAAAGGAAGTATTACTATCACAACAATAATGGTGCTGATTTCCAAAAAATGGTATTCTGTGTTATAATGATATAATTAGTGTTAATTTTTAAGAAGATCTCACGATAATTGTATAATACTAACCTGGAATATTTGTGCCATGTCTAAAGTCTGCCGAATAGCCAACACTTTTAGGAAGGGTAGAAAATTGTGCAACTTTAAATTCTGGGTTCTCACATTCACTATATGGAATCACTGGTTTCAATGGCAAATGATTTCTCAGAGTCAACAAAGGGATACCTAAAAATTTTTTTATTAATTCAAACACTAAAAGAATTCAGTTATTACATATTTTATTCTAATGAAAATTTTACCCAAATACTGTACGGGTCTGTTTACGGGTTCCAGTGCAGCTTCTTTAGGCCATCCCTTTTTCCTTCTGCCAAAAAACACTTTAGGAGGAATATCAACGCCTCCGACAAACCAGAATGCTTCATGTCTTGGATCATAGTCCACCTAAAATATAATATAAGTGATAATGAATGTATCTACTTATTACAGTTTATATATTAAATTCATTTATTAGATTATATTCAACATAAAAATAACAAAATGTTACGAGACAAAATAAAACTTGTATATAAGTACATATATTATTTGCTTTAGATAGGGCCCTTTAAACCTACACCTGGGTCGCTAGTCCCAGGCACTGTAGAAGCTCCTCTCCCTGCAGTGCGATCGACACGGCACCCATATGGTGAATCCATTCAATGCTAAGAGGTTTTGTCTCTTATTATATGAAATTTTGTGAATGAAAGTTTACCTGTGAGGATAATATATGTGAAACTTTATCTGATAAATTGTTTGTTATAATTCTGTTAATCTGTTTCACTATATTTCTTGCTTGTGCATTTTCCCTTTGCGCTTCTGCATTCTTATTTAGTACTGTAGTAATTTTTCGCCTAAAAAGTATATACGTATTAATATTTTTTTATATAAGAAAATGTATTAAACACTTCAACTATAATAGACATACTGTATTCCTTCATTCTCAATAACAATACAATCCTCAATTGCTGACTTTATTTCCTGCACCACGGTATCAGCCATGGAAGATGAGTCTTGGTAAACATCAGGAAGGCTATCCACAGGTTTAAAGTGGGTTCTTGTGTAATGTTGAACCATAGGCATTGCATTGTATGGTACGCTATCTTCGGTTAACATTACGCATTCCCAACCATAATATCGCGGCATGTTTAAAGCTATTTGTTTTTCTTCGACCGTGTTAATGTTTTTGATATTTTCGCGTGTCCTTTCCCTTTCACGTTTCTTTTTTCCTTTTGAAGTCATATCTAATATAGGCGGATAGATTGGTTGATCCGTATACTCATCCTGTTCTCTTTGTAAAGCCTGTGCATACCGTCTTGTAATCAATTGTTTTAATTTTGGAAAAGTCCTATGAACTTTCAATAGCTGCATTTTTTATGATTTTCTGTAATAACCATCAGAATTTAGACTCAACACTAAAATTCATAGGTTATGGCAACTGTTACTGTCAAATATTTCACAGGTTCAGTTGTCTGTCATAGTTTTAAGAATTCATCATTGTTATATAAATGTCTAACAATAGGAATTTTTTTTTATTTCCACCGCTATTGTTATAATGCCTATTTTCAATAAAATTTGTTAATATATTAATAAAAATAATTATAATGCACAAATTCTTAATTGTACAGTGAACGCACGAATAACAAAAATGGCACAGATAACAAATTGTCTCAGTAAACTAGGCTGATGCAACGTTTTGACATCTGATTTGCCTCCTGCCAAATTATTCCATCTGCACTATAACCAAGTTTAAATATTGGAGTTATTTAGTGCCTAACAATACCTGTAATTATGGATGAAGATTTGATTTTTGATCCTTCTTTAAAGAAGAAAAAGAAGAAGAAGACTGGCTTTGATATGGACGCTGCACTCGCAAGTGAACAAGGCGATACCACGAGTGTTGAGGCGCCTGCTGAGTCCGGTGACGTCGACGTCCCCGAAGATGAAAACATGGACTTGGATAATTTTGGTAAGAAGAAGAAAAAGAAGAAGAAGACCTTTTTCAACTTAGACGAATTGGAGAGCGCGTTGCCCGAAACGAAAGAAGAAAAACCGCCATCGGAAGAACCTGAGCAACAGGAGGATGAAGTTATAGATGACTTAGATCTAGAAATAGATTTTTCTAAAAGTAAGAAGAAGAAAAAGAAGAAAAATATTGATGAACTGGTTATTGAAGACGATACTAAAGGTGATGATCAAGAGAGAGAGGACGATGTCCATGGTGATTGGGTTGGAAGCGATCGTGATTATACCTACGACGAGCTTCTGGAGCGTGTGTTTGATATAATGAGGGAAAAGAACCCCAGCATGGTGTCAGGAAAGAAACAAAAGTTCATCATGAGACCACCACAAGTTGTTAGAATTGGTACCAAGAAAACATCATTTGCAAACTTTACAGAGATTTGTAAAACCCTTCATCGTCAACCGAAACATTTACTAGACTTCCTCCTCGCTGAATTGGGTACAAGTGGTTCCGTTGATGGTAATAGCCAGCTTATTATTAAAGGACGTTTCCAACAGAAACAAATAGAAAATGTTTTGCGCCGATATATTAAGGAATATGTCACATGTCATACATGCCGCTCCCCGGATACAATTTTACAAAAGGATACCCGATTGTTCTTCCTCCAATGTGAAACTTGTGGATCCCGATGCTCTGTAGCCAGTATCAAATCTGGTTTCCAGGCAGTGACAGGAAAGAGAGCTGCCATGCGTGCAAAGACTGCATAGATAAATAGTGCTTAGTGGTAATCAATTTTACAATTGAGGATCCGGGGTACATACAGTGAATTTCCTTCTCAATGTTTTAAATCTTTTAATTAAATATTATATTAGCATTTATTTCAGCTGTAAATCTGGTGCTGATTGAATATTATGTTCTAATGTAAAATATTATGTATATCTAAGATACAGGTGTGTACTATTTTCATTCATATGACATTTTGTTATTGTGCATACATATATTTACTTGTTGTATTTATATATTTAACTGTAAATTGAGTGATTAATTCCATATTTATCATGAAGTATTATGTGGTCTCAAATATTTTTTGTTAATTTTGGTTGCTGGAACAACATTAAATTGAAATTCTGGATGTACCCTACATTAACCCCCATATGTATAGCTCACTACTGTATTATTCTCATTGGTACACAAACTTTTTAATTTGTTGTTTCATTTCATCAAACCCTTATATACCTCTTACATATACTTGTAAATTATGAAATAAAATAATGAATATTTTTTTCAACAAAATTTATTTAATAATTGAATCTTTAAACAAATATTATTTAAAAAATTAATACAACAAATATAAAAATGCAATAAAATTTGTTACAACATGAGTTAGGAATCTTATATATAACCAGTAAACATTATATAAAGAATTATTAATTCTTATTAATTATTTGACGCTCATAATCTGGTTTCACAACTTTATTGAGGCTCTCTGCATATAAGTCTAATCTTTGAGTCATAGTGAAGCCCCATTTGTCTTTAACTTGACGGCACAGATTAAGATCCATTTGTGCTATCAATAATCCATCATTTACTCTAGACAGTCCAGGTGTACGGCATCCATCTGGTGCAGTGACATAGCTGGAACCATAGAAATGCCCAAACTCCTTATGGGCAGGCTTCCCATCACCTGATGTAAATTCATTAGGAAACTTCTCAGAACCTACTCTGTTTATAGAACAGGTAAAATAACTGTTAGCAATAGCTGCATTACGAGCTTCAATGGCCCACAGATGTTCACTGAGGCCTGCTACTGTGGCTGATGGATTGAATACAATTTCAGCACCGTTTATGCCAAACAGCAGCCAGTTTAATGGATGATGTCTTCCATAGCAGATATTGACCGCAATCTTTCCAAATTTTGTATCAAAAACGGGATGACCCGTAATTCCTTCCATATAATATGTAGATTCATTAAAATCACCAACTCTAGGGATGTGATTTTTTCTGTGTTTGCCTATAACTTTTCCTTGGTCATCTATAACAACAGCAGTATTCCAAATTGTATCCCCATGGTTTTCATCGCGCTCTAATATAGGAGAAATAAATACCATGCCATATTTAACAGCAAATTCCCTAAGAAATTGGGTACTGGGACCATCATGTGCTGATTCAGCGAATTCACACCATGGTTGTTTTTCTCTTGTGCAAAATGCAAAAGGCATATTCCAACACTCTTGAAAACATAAAATATTAACTCCTTCATTTGCAGCAGCTACTATAATTCTTTTTATTTTTTCAAAAATGGCCTGTCGCTGCTCGACAATAGGTTTGTCGGTGGACTCAACTATTGAATGTTGAATTATACCAACTCTAACAACACGAGAGCTTCTAATTTCTTCCTTTTTAGCAGGGAAATCATAGGCAGCAACTTCAAAATTATTCTCTTTAGCACATTCTGTTGTTGATAATTTAATGGGCAGTGCATGATGATTTGGTCTACCATAATAAATTCGATTAAACTCTTCTAATTCAGGCCCAGAAAGAGCGTTGAGTACTAATTTGTCAAAACTTTCTATTTCTGCTGCAGCTGCCATATTTTAATTAATAAAGATTGAAATAATAAGTCGGCGAAATTTCTATAAAGGGAACTTTTATTTTATTAATGATAACAGAAGTATCGTTATCTATTAACACCGAGGACTCGGGGTCAAATGGCATAGAGAACACTGTACGATATACCACATTCGCAATCAATAAATTCAATCATTGCCAAGCATTTTGCAGTGTTTTCACTTTTTGGCGTTGGTCAAAAATAAGTATGTTGATTAACAATTATTTCCGAAAAAGTTGCGTGAATAAAATATTTTAATTTGTTTTCTATATTTTAGCCATTCACTTGGTTGTTTAAGGAGCAATTTTAAAATAGTTTTTGCATTTATTACATTTTTTGTTAAGTTCGTCCAATTTGATGACTTTAATAAATATAGAAAAATACATCGTTATATTACAAAAAAGTGTTATAATTATGTTTTTGGGACGATATCCTAAGCATCGTCAGGAAGGGGTGACCGCTAAGCAACAGGCTTTCTCTGCATTTGTTGACCAGTGACATGGTTGATGGTATAATATAATTGTATAAAACAGTTATAGTGACACGATACATTAAAAAGACATCATTAAAAAAAAAGGTCTGCTGTGGAATAAAATATAAGATAACCCTTATATTTAAAGTATATTCTGCATAGTTTATATTTTCTTAAGAAACCTATGAAGTGATCAGGATATAAATTGTTTTTTTATTTTCTAAGAAATAAGAATTTATTTACAAAACCATGTAAAGAATATTTAACATGGTGAATTTTTTTATATATAAAATACCAAAACCTCAAATTACTATAAAAGACTTTTCCTTCATGATCTTCGAATTCTAGAGTACCAGTATAAATATTTTTTTCCGATAAATAAAAAAAATTTCTTCCGAACTTTATTAATCTATGATTAATATTGAATTACACTTTGTGTACTTTGTCAACTGTCAAATGAAGTTTGACATTTACAGTAAATAATAGGTTGTGTGTCTACGATAATAATTAATAAATAGCAGTTTTAAATTTTTCTATACGATACAATTATTGATACATTATATGATACAATTTAAATATATTGTGTGAAACATATTCATTTATCAAAATGAATGTATTACCAGCACAACCTATAGGTATTCAGAGTACTGCTGGCGCTGTACCCGTTCGCAATGAAAAAGGTATTACAAATATGTTTTTTGTTTAAATATTGTTTTTAAATATTTTTATCTTTTAATATATGTATAGGTGCAGCAGTTTCACTATTGCTGGTTGTTTATTATTTTTTTTACAGGTGAAATATCTATGCAAAAAGTTAAGGTGCAGAGGTATATATCGGGAAAGAAACCAGATTATGCTCAAGGAGTTACCTCCTCTGAAGAATCAGAAGCTGAAGATTTCATAGAGCAACAGAGACCTGAACGTCGACACCAGATTGCACAGATTATTAGTCAGAAGGATGATATACAAAGTCATTCAGAGAATGAAGTAAAAAGTTTAACCCTACGTAATTTATTTGAGTATTTAAAAATTTTAGAATCAATACTGATAGATTTCATAGAATTAGCTGAAATTTGTTTTATTTTACATTGCATATGAATTATTGTTTGCTCATGTTGTATTTGTTTGTTTTTTGTATTAAAAATGAGTTTTACAAATTATTTAAATATAAACTTTACTATTAATCTTCACCTTAATAAGTAAGAGTAATGTTACTCTCATTATTGTTTTTTATTTTACTGTTAACTTCATCAATATAATTTTGTATACAGGTTGACGACCCTCGTCTTCGACGTTTACGTGTCGCGCATTCTCCGCGTCGAGCTGAACACAAACCAGAGGTTATTGATGCTGAACCCGAACCTGAATCAGAATCGAGCGAAGAAAGTAAACACAGTTCGGAAAGTGAAGATGAACTTGATGAAGAAGAAATTGAACGACGGAGACAAGCTGTTAGAGCTAAACTGGCAGCAAGGTAATTGATTACTGGGATGTAATTTATGAAATAGCTTAATAGGTTTTATATATGGTAATTTAAATTTAAGCCAGTGTTTATTGAGATTTTTAGTCTTGGTTAAACATTAAATGACTTAAGAGTTAAGTCTTGTAAGTTTAAAATCTCCCGATGATAGATCATTAAATAGTTTTAGATGTATCCAGGTAATATTTTGTTAGAAATATTTGATGTTTAATCATACAGATAGAGAACTTTTCTTTTCTGACTAGGCCTGATAAGATATTTAAAAAATGTATATATTTTTTATCATTACAGAGAAGCAGAAAAAGAAGTTTTAGGAAGAGAAGATGATGAGGAAATGTTAGATGGTGACAAAGAAGAAAGTGGTTCATCAGATACTGAATATACTGATAGTGAAGAAGACACAGGTATAAGAATAGTATAATAAATTATAATATATTACTTTTTCGTACGAATTTCCCCATTGTTTTAGGAATTTGCATCTAAGAAATCTATAAAATCTATTAAAACAATTTATATGATAACAAATCAGCAGCATTCTATAAAAGACACAACTGTTAGTCGTTAGGATCTAATAACGGAGAAATTACATTGAATTCAGAATATATTATAGCCCAAGTTTTATTCTGACTTCTAAGGTCCATAACTATTAAGTTTCATCAAAATTACTTAGGTTTAGTGTGAGTGAACAAGCACCAAACATCTTTATTTACAATCTTTCGTATTTACAATATACATATTCATATACTAGCTGTTATGTTGTTCGTCTGCATAAAGAAAAAAAAAATCTTTTAAACGCCGCATAAGAACAGTCTTCCACTCGCTCGTGATCTAATCAAATCAAATTATCAATGAAAATTATGATATAAGCATTGAAAATTAATTTCTAAATCAAGTTGTTGAGATGTAAAGGTCACCCTTTGTGATATTGATTCGTGTGTGAGAAAGTTGTGGGAGCGCCCGAGACGTGATGGTTCAGGCGATATTTTTCAAAAATAAAAGACTTTCTAAAATAAAAGTAGACTCAGTTACACCTTATGTCAGCTACCTGCCAGTGAAAGTCTCGTAAAAATCGGTCCAGCCATTTCAGAGATTAGTCGGAACAAAAAGACAGGCAGACAAAAATTGTAAAAAATGATATTTTGGTGTATTTACCGTATACATACCCATATGTATGTAGTAAAAAACTATCACTTCAATATTACAAACAGACACTCCGATTTTATTTATTTGTATATATCATTTACTTTTATAATTTAATAGGGCCAAGAGTGAAGCCAGTCTTTGTGAGGGCATCAGAAAGAATGACAGTAGCAGAGAGAGAACGTAAACTTAAACAGCAGAAGAAAGAAGATTCTGAGGCAAGAAAGGAAAAGGAGGAGAGAAGGCGGGAAGCATTGAAATTAGTTGAAGAGACTATTCGTGCTGAACAAAGAAATACACAGGTAACTTAAACACGTAACAGAAGATTTATACATCATTATTTTTTAAACCTTATATATTGGATTTTCTTTTTAGATAATTGTCTTGATATATAAAAGCTCATATCAATATATTTCAATTAATCATATAAAGCAGTTGACAACGGTTTTGTTAATTACGATATTTCAATGAGAGTAACGAAAGAAAAATAAAAATGTATTATACTATGTATTAAACATATTTATTAACTTTTTCAGTCAGAATACAAGGAAGGTAATATAAACGACGTGTGCACTGACGATGAGAACGATGAGTTGGAATATGAAGCGTGGAAATTGAGAGAAATGAAGAGAATAAAACGTGACAAGGAGGAACGGGAAGCGTTAGTATTGAATATTTTATTTTATATTTTACATATAAATTATGAGCTTTGTTTTCGCAAAAAAAAGAATGCTTTATTATTATAAATTTATGGAAACTTAAGACGAAACTTCTCAGCATCCCATGGATTCACCGTGCGGGTGCCGGGTCCATATTAGAGAATGAAAAATTCCGTAATATATTGTAAAAGTGTAAGTTGTTACCTTATTAACTTGAAAAAGGTAACAACTTACACTTTTACAATATAACGTTTGAGTAATTTTTAATGATTATATTTTTATGTCTAGGCTTAAATTAAATTATAATTTATATGATTTTATTTTCATGAAGCGCGGAGAAAGAGTTGTTAGCCATAGAGCGTATGAGAAACATGACTGAGGAAGAGCGTCGCGTCGAACTACGACTAAATCCCAAATTGGTCACAAACAAGTCCGTCAAGGGCAAATATAAGTTCCTTCAGAAGTATTACCACAGGTATATTATATTTTATTTAAGAAAGTATTTTATGTACTAAATAATATTTACCTAAAGCGAAAGCCTGTCTTTTACCGAAGCAGTGTTGGAAAGAAATTGGACTGAAATTTTTATCCCTCATATATATAAAGTGTTAAGACTTAGAGTTTAAACTAGTAAAGTTGTCAAATTCGCCTTTATTTAATATGTTTATTTACTATCCAAACCTTTATTAAACTTAACATGATTATTTTTATCAAATAAAAAACAAGACAATTTCATGGACTATAGTAACTAATAGTGAAGTTTTGTTTTCTTTGTCTGCTATTGTTTTATAGACACCTAATTTTTTATTTGTAATGATATGTTATTTGTAGACATATTTTTAATACACTTTTCCTTTTATAGAGGTGCTTTCTATTTGGATAAGGAAGAAGATGTATTCAAACAAGATTTCTCGGGACCAACACTGGATGATCACTTTGATAAGACTGTTCTACCTAAGGTAAACATTTTTTTTGGAAATTGTTATACTAAAGTATATCAATAAAGTATAATTTTTTGGCAAGACTTTAAAATGAAAACCCAAACACAATATTACAATTGGAACTTACTTCAGAACATTTATATTGAAATATATTTTTGGCAACAAAATGTAGCAACGACATATATGTATAATATTAATTTTTGTACAGGTGATGCAAGTGAAGAAGTTTGGTAGATCTGGTCGTACGAAGTACACACATCTAGTAGACCAAGATACAACAGAGTTTGACTCAGCTTGGAGCAATGAGGGAACAGCAGCCAGGCTTACCAACTTTAGAGGCGGAATGAAACAACAGTTTGAACGGCCATCAGCTAAATCCAAACATAACTCTTGATAATATATATAATATAATGTACTTGATAATATATGTATTATTTTCAGTCCCAGAACAACTTTACCTTTACAAAAGACTATACCTGTAGACTTTTAGTTTAAATTTTATTATGTCCAGTATATTTTTTCAATCGTTTGTCCTTACTGAGTGCTGAAATGTCAACTCAGCATAGAAATTATATTGATGATGTAGATAACAAATAATATTTTGTATGTTTAGGATAAATTTAATGTTGTAATAGTGTTATAAGAGTAATAAAGATGATTATTCTAAGGAATAAGACGCACAATGAGTTTATAATTTTTTACAAAGCTATTATTTTCTTCGTATATGAAAAATGAATGCAAAGGAGAATGTAATGTAAAATAATCATAAATTAAATTGGTCTATTAGTAGTTCGGATTCAGTCTTGTACTAAAATAAGAAAAAATATAATAAAAGATTTCACAGTGAGTTTTAAGCAACAAAGGAATATATGTAGAAATAACGCATGATTTCAATGAAATATGACCTTATTTCTTTTTTAGGATAGGATAATCCACGTGTCTCGTTTTTGGGCTGGATTATATTTCATGTCTAGGTATTTTATTTAATCGTAATAAAACCTTATTCAAACAAGTTCGATACAAAAGTTACTTCAAATAAAGAAAAAATGAATAAAGAATTCACGTACGAATATATGTAAATGAAACATGTAACAACTTAATTAAAAACATATATTTTTTCCGAAGTGATTTTAAAAACATACAGTCTCCAACTTCGTTTACCTATTATATAAATAGCACGAAAATGAGATTGGCTGTGAATGTTATAAAATTTTATATGGATCTAAAGAACACGAGAAATATTATGAAAGAAAAAACGATTCCTTTGTTAATATAAATTCAGTATACATAAAGTTACCCTCATCACTTTAGCAGATTACCAGGGGGTCGTTTGTGCATTCAACTGTGACGCTATAGGAGATTCCAAACCCTCAGACAAGGGTGCTTTGAGTAAAAGAGAGCGCCTTTACAACATAGGTCTTTGTGGGATAAAGGGTGGACCTATACCATATTCCCTTCCCTTTTAGTTGTATAGACTAGATAGTAAGGTGGGGGGAAAAGTCCTTCCTTGGTCCTCCGTCTACCCGTACTCTCCCGACAAACCGGATCAGCTTAGCAAGCAGTCTCCCTGCTCCGTTTCACGCCCTGTTTTAAAGGATCCTTGCCGAAAGAGGTAATGGTGACCTAAACGGTCTCACTGTCAAGCATTTTTGATATGAAGATCTCTCCGCTATCTTGTGCAGACGTCCTGAAGCAACTGTATCCTGATAGTACCTAAACATGTCGTAATGTGATTGATCGTGCCACCTTCCTGTCCAACTCTTTATTTAATCGTTGCATAATGAGCATTTGCGCTCTGACCCTAATCCATGCAGTCTCCTAGGCTTCGCCACCGGCGCAGGCTTTAGTTCGGTGGTAGTATAAGCTTCCTAACACCTAAATGTTTGTGTAATATTTTTGAACTTTACTTAAACCAATGTCTAGGCCTGCCCGTATCTGATAATAGATCACTCTCTTACCTTCCTCTCTCATGTGTCGCACAGTACTAATGTTATCTTCAGTAAGAACTGTTTTAAGGACGTCCCTCACTCGGATCATCCTTTAGACTTTTAGTCTATGCTTAAACTAATAAAACCAATTGTAAATAGTGATATGAGATGTAGCTTAAATTTTCATTAAAAATGCTAATCGCAGCCTATCATAGCTTTGTTGTCGAATAAACCCACAACGAAAGTTATAATAAATCATTTACAGAAAAGTTTCTCGCGTTAGGTTCGTTTTCACGTGTAAAAATAACAACAACTTTAGATTGGTGGCCAAATCACAAAACCAAATGACGAGTGAATTCAATGTACCATAATAGTTTACCAAAGAGCTCTTGAATTGAAATTCATAAAAGTTTTCACGAGGAATGTTTCTAACTGACCAGTTCTAAACATTTTCAGTGCTCTCACGTATGTATGTACTTATATGTATGAAGTAATTGATTTAGTCAATTGCTTCAAAAAACGGCTTAATCAATCGCTTTGATATATTACCAGTTTGTTGATTGCAAAATTCGTGAGATTTAATTTAATTATATTAACTATTGCATTACAGTTTACTAATCAATTTTTCTTTAATAAAAATTTTCAAGTGATGATTGAAGATATATATTTTTTTTTTTGAAAAATGAAAAAATGTTTATTAACAAAAAACACAACATAATACAAAGATATATCCTGTGGTACCCACACTAGATATTCCTGTGTCGTGGGTACCAATTGAAAGATTTACAAACATGTTTAATGTTGTCGCTCGATACATTGCATAGTTTAAGTTAAAAGTTACAAGATAGAAATTATGATAGTGAAAAGGTGCTATACTACGTGCAAGAATAGTTCTTCGGTGGTATTGTAGGTTAACGAGGAGAGCCAAGAAATAATTTTTGTTTTGGCTTGTTTTAGAGAGCAATGTTTAATGTCACAAGCGTTAGCTACTTTATTATAAATAAAAGACTCGATGAAGGGACTGAAGCGTCTGGCAAAAGAAGACTTAATTATGGGCAAGGGGAGCCTATAGTCCCGACGTTTGAGTAAATTTTTATATATGATCTGAACGAATAAATTCATTAGAGTATGCTGTACGATAACTAGCGTTCGGCATATGACATGTACATAATATTGTATCATGTATGTACTATTAAGTAGGTACATAGTTATGAATTTGTAATATATAAACCGTATTAAATTGTACTTTATGTACATATATACACATATAATAAAGTGAATTATGTATATAGAAATAACTTCATCTATGAAGCAAGCAATCGCTAATGTTATTTAAAGATTGGATTAGCTTTAAAGTTTCCATTACATCAAGATTTTGGGATTACGCAAAAGTTACGTAGCAAAACTAATGAAATACTCGGGATCAAGTTGTGTATAGTGTCGTATCTTCGTAATGAACGTTTTGCTAGCGTACCGCCACTAACCGCAAGCGCTTCGGAATGCCAGAACAATTCCTGGCCTTCCTAGAATATCTTTGCTTCGTAAATTACTATATTATCGTATGCAATATCTGGATTGTTCAGTTGTATTTGCCTTATTTGAATATTTCTATAATAATAATATATAATTTAGATTTGTTGTTTCTGTCTTTGTAGTACTCACTACGGAATTGGGGAGGCAAGACAGAATTGTAATTCAATGGTGAATATTTTTAACAGTAGAACAGAAAAATAAGAACAAAATTTAGAAAATACGTAATAAGAATCTTAAAAATATAATAATATTTTTGCCTTCGGCGATCTACTGTAAGACTGTACTAGTCACTAAGTATCTTATCGTATTTGCAGTCGCTAGATAACCTTATTATTAGCTTTTATATTTATTGCTAAGCCTATTACACTAATTTAATAAAAATTGTTATCTTTTCATCGCAGATTCTAAGAGATTTTATTGTTAATCTTTCTTAAAAATGAGTATTCCTATACTACTTCTCCATGTTACAACAAATTTCGTTCTATACTTTATGTTTAGTTAGTCCAATATTTTTTAGCGGAACGATAAAATCTAAGTGATTTAATGTTTTTTATATTTATGGCTGTTCCGAATTGGAATATTTATCTGACCATCTATCTAGCCATTTCGCCAAAATATTATGTATCCTAACCTCTAAATCAATCAAAATCAACACGTAAAAAAATATATATGTATGTTGTTATACTTCTAGTAAGAATTTAATATAGAATTAATTGAAATGGCAATCAATTTAAAAAATATAAAATCTATATTTTCAGAACCACACAAATTGTTAATTATATTCATGCTTCATATGGTTTTTCAGTGAAGCTGAATAAACAGAGAGATCATGCAAAATATTTATTCTATATGTAACTAGGTTGTGCAGATCGTTGTACGCTTATTTTGTAAAAGAGGAAAACATGTTATATTTTACCCTCTGTTTATTTAACTCGTCGAGTAGATCTTCAAGAAATATAAATCTGTTTCTCTTGTGTATTCGTAAAGGAGTGATTATTTTCATTTCTTGTAACTTCTTTTCTTATACGAGTTACATTTCTTAGCAAAGCAAATTTAGTACATTATTTTAATTTTAAATTAACGTTAGGATATAATGTCATAGTCACTTGATTAGTTTTTAGTCAAATGAAGCCTTTGATTCGACTCGTCAGATGTTCAACGTTTAATTATTAATTTCATTATAATGTTGATTCTAACGACGAATCGAGTGGTTCTAGGAAATTTCGTGGAAAATTATTTCTATTTATGTATATAAATATTTTATTATTAATATAAAGTAAATGACAATCATTAGCTTTTAAATATTCCCTACTTAATAAAAATTTACCTATAGGTAAATAAAGCAGGCATAACTACTAACTTTCAAAACCTACTTTCAAAATTAGGATAGGCACTAATTAATGGTGCAAAAGAAATTTTATTATCCCGAGCAAAATTTACTCATTTTCTTTCAATAAAATTAAAATTTACTTTGAGTTGGTAGAGGGCTTTAGAAATTAAAAGCGGTTGTGACTCATCATAGAAAACCGTTATAATAAGCTATTTATATCTTTAATATTAAATAAAAAAAATAAATTTCTTGAAGATCTCGACTATTTTGATAAAATTGTTTTAAAGATATTAACGTAATATTTTTTTTACATTAAAGTAAGTTCCAGATAAAATTAGGAATAATATTTATTATCTTTTAATTTTGACTTTTTAAGAAAAAAATAATATAAAACCGATTCTGTATTGTATCTTCTTCTTCTACCTGGCAATTTCCCAGCTATAGCCAGGGTCTGCCTTACATGTTGTGAATAGTTTTCGCTATTTGTTTTTACGACCGGCCGCCTGCCTGACATCAACCCTCTTTTGGGAATCAACATTAATCAGTAATGTCTAAATAGTCTTAGAAAGTACATATGACTCGGAAAAATCACATTGGTACTTG